GAGCTCAGCTTGCCAGGTATCTGGGCAGCAGCAGCAACAGCAGCGAGACGACGCAGACAAAACGACCGCCCGCGTCCAGTCAAGAGAAATTCGTCCATCGGGCGTTCGCCAGCGTGCTCGCGGTGGCCGAAGATGCCATTGGCGTCGACGACAGCTTTTTCACCTTGGGTGGAGATTCAATCAGCGCCATGCGGCTGCTGGGCCTGTGTCGAAAGGGGGGAATGCGCATGACGATGTACGAATTCCTGGCGAATAATACCGTTGCTCTTTTCTGCGAGAAAGCCCGCATGGTCACCCCCGCGAATGAAGCCCCAGTCGTCCCTGTCGCAGTACCAAATGGAAAGGAAGTCGCCCCTGAGCACCCAGCGAGTCCAGCAGTCCTGCAACTCAGCCATGCTGAGTGGGAAGCCGTTTACGATCTGGCGGGGCAGCAGTCCGTCGGGTCCCTCCAGGATGTCTACGCCTGTTCCGACGCCCATTGCGGTATGCTGGAGGTTTATACTTCCCAGTATCGGGGAAACCTGATTTTTGCCCTCGAAGGCACCGATGATGCCATTATTAGCCCAGACCAGGTCGTGTCCGCCTGGAGGGAGGTGGTTCAGCGGCATACCGCGCTGCGCACGGTGATAATTCGCCGTCCCGGCAGCAAGAAGCAGTACCTCCATGTTCTGCTCAAGAGCGCTTCGCCGACGGTGGTGGTCCTGCCTCCTGGCGAGGATACTCTCGAAGTGCTCAAGGCGCTGCCAACGACCGCGTGGGAGAAGGGCTCGCCACCCCACCGGCTGATCGTCGGTCAAGACCGGTCTGGACAGGTCCTCTTCCGGCTGGAGACTGGCAGCGCGCTCATCGACGCCATGTCGGTGCCCATCCTCCTGAGCGATCTCGCTCTGGCCCTGCGCGGCCAGCTCCCGCCGGACGCCGCCACCCCGTATAGCGACTACTTGGCGTACCTGCAGAGCCGGTCCAAGGAGGAGACGCTTGAGTACTGGAAGGGCGCCCTGGCCGATGCTCGCCCATGCAGGCTGCCACGACGACCCAGTGCGGACAAATTCCCAGAGTTGGACTGCACACCCGAGCACCGCTCCCTACCCCGACTGATGAATCCGGAAGATCTCGCTCGTCTCGACACATTCTGGCGCTCGAACGGCCTGACGATTGCCAACATCTTCCAGCTCGCCTGGGCACTGCTTCTGCAGCATTACACTCACATCTCGGACGTCTGCTTCGGCAGCATTGTGTCGGGCCGCGACATCCCCCTGCCGCACATCTGGCAGATGGTGGGCCCATTTTTCAACATCCTTCCCTGCCGGATGGTGCTGGGTGGCGACGACAACGCACCACGCACGGTCCTGGAGGTGCTGCGCGCGAACCAGATGAGCATTCAGCAGCGCAACGACCACCACCACTGCTCGGTCCCCGAGGTTGTTCGACAAGCTGGGCTGAATATCCACGGGGACCAGCAGCTCTTCAACACCGTGCTGACGGTACAACCGGAGTTTGAAACTTCCGCGTCTACTACCACGGGGATTGGCTTCAACATGCTGGAAATGGATGATGCTACTGAGGTTAGTAATGTCCTCCATAATGTAAGCCTCGAAGTGCTGCGAACGCTAACCACCATCTCTAGTACGATATGTGCTTGGCTGCGGTCCTATCGCCGGGCCGCATTCAGCTGGAACTGCGATACTGGTCATCCACCTGCTCAGACACGTACGCCTCGGAGATTCTGCATCACTTCTGCTGGGCTGTCGGGTGGATTGTGGATCATCCGGGGGATCCTATCGCTGCTGTTGCATTTTGAAGGAGGACATATATGCATAGTTGTAGCCACGTAAGGTTTATAAGAAAGAGAATAAATTGCTTCCCAGGCTAAAGGTAAGACTTGAGGCTGATCTTAGTGGTTCGTGAGATGCATAGGAAGAAAAGAAAATGGCAAAAACATACGCAAAAACATACAACAGAAGGGACTCGCTGGTAGTCATCTACCCAATTACTAACCTCCCGGCGTATAATTTAAACGCGGCCAGAAGACAGATTTAATAATGCTCGGGTGAGCTATTAGATAAAGCTCTCTTACAGTCGCGCGATGGTCAGATAAGTTTAAAGTTAAAACTTAAATATCTACTTAGTTCTTCAATAATATAATACAATCGGTCTTAGATAAAATTGTGAACCACAACGCTATTTTAATATTATTTATATTAGATATAGAAAATATATGATCTTAAGTTTCATCTAGTACAATGCACAGGGACTGACTAAGCAGCCGGATAGAAGGACTGCTGTATATATTAAATGTATAAAATAAGTATAATTAAACAAAATCATAAAGCAAAAATTATATAATATATATCTCTCTAACAGTTAGCTTACTCGAGTCTGTTACGAGTCTGTTATTCATCTAGTTAAGAGAATATCCGAGGTATTTTCTAAAATAAGTTAAGTTCAACGACAAAGTTGAAAATACCGGAGCTCAGCTGATTGTAGCAGTTGTCACTATACAATTGAGATAAGTACTACATTAATTATGTAGTGACAACTGTTACAACAACACGATTCTTCGCGATGGTTTGATATCAAATTCATCCGGCGATTCCAGTCCTTTTCCTCTCTCGATAGCCTCTTATATGCTTGTTAACACTACTTTCCGGAACTACTGAGACTATCGGTAATTTTTCATCATTTCCTAGCCACTTATTCCGAGACACAAAGAAGGCGTCTTTGTCATGTAAGAAAGCGATTTGGGATATCCACAGCGGAGCGAGTTCATTGAACACTTGTTATTGGAACTCTTGAGCCCGCACTCCAATGATTGAAAAGGGCTTCGCGATGGAGTGTCGGCTTATCCACTTGGTTCTCGACCAATTGGGGCGTCTGTACAGCGGTGATGTTGTCTTCGAAAAATCCACTCGCCCATATCTCCTTGTGAAATAATGTCAACCGATCTTTTCACTTCTATCACTCCCACTTGCCGTTTATTGTGGTATCCACCACCCTCTGTGACTTGAACACTAGCTGCGTACATGTGACCAGAGGCCACAAAAGTTGAATCATCGTCGATCGGGGAGGTCAGATTGATGTTCCTTGGTACAGTCGGTTCTTTCAGTACTTTAAACTTTTGAGGAATGTTTTGTATAATCAGCCGCGTAACTATCCATCGAAAGACAGGATAGCATGCAGGCATGCACGCGCACACAATAGAGAGTGTTGCATCGGAACTCGAATAAACAAGATCTTGGTTTGCGTTGACTAATATCGTAGAAGCGATTAATGAGCGCAGGCGAGATGGACATCATGCTGAACGCGTCCTTACCAAGTGTAAAGTTTCCACTCAGAAATCTCTTGAATGTTACCACTGAATGGATCATTCCAGCGCACGCTAGACTATGGATTGCAGAATTGTAAGCAAGTGGAAAAGAAACCAATCTCACCGGCAGGTAGGAGAAGGCATGATTGCGACCTACAGCAGGTTCAAACCGAATAAACTCAGTAGTCCAATCTTTTGGCCTTTCGCCAGGCACAAACCAGGCAGAACCATCAAAGGGACAGTCAGAATGGCCAGGTAGCTGACGATCTGAATAGATCCATTGATGGTCCATAAGATCTTCCATGGTAGGCAATGCTTTTTTGCAGTCGGGCCATGAGCCCAGAAATAGCTCACTGGGTTGCAAAAGAAAATGGAGCTGAAGAATATCCAAACACCACACATTATGAGTATAGTGGCAATGAAATGGCCAAAACGCTTTACTGAACGCCTGGTAAATATCCGCTGGTAAAAAGCCAGAAGTGAGAGTTTGCATATGATTAGAGTTGACTGACAAAATGGAATCGACAGCCAGAGTGCCTAGATTGAATTAGTTATTATACGAAGTACGAGTGAAATCTTGAAACATACAAAAAAGTCATTCGGCGCCTGAGATGTGTTCTTTCTGGACTGGAGCTCGGCTTTGCGGCTGTTAGCACTATTTCACATTTTATATTGATCCATGTCATGCGCAACACACCAAGAATGCCACATGAGTAGACTATACAACTCATTCCCTGAATGGATGGTAAGAACGGACTTTGCATGATTTCTGCGGATACTGTAGGACATACAAAAGCCAGGCAGATAAGAGCATCATCTAAACCCAAGCTACACAGGTGTAGGCGTGTGGAAAGGCGGATAATGACGGAGAACAGGCTTAGTAAGATGAGGAAAATGAGAAAACAAAGAGCGTTCATGGTTAGTTTCAAAATCAACCTTGCCAATTCTGAAGTCATTGTCGCGTCTGCGTAGGATCATATATACTGCTTAACATAGATTACGTCAAATGTGGGGCAATGATCACAACATTTTCTCTTTGTATCGAATATCCCCATGGTACGACGGCAATGATGATTCATTGATTAGACAACAATTCTGCAAGCCAGCCCTCTACCCAGATGAGTACTTTGGGATTTGAAATAACTTAGTTCTTGTGTCTCAACCGGGTACACAACATTAATTGCCAGTGAAAAACACTCCCTAAAGCTTAATAATTTGGACTAAAAACTTGAGTCGATTTTTGGTTACCGAGCAGAGACTGATTGGACTCAAAGTTTTCTAGAATGAAGCGTTATAGCTCCAAAGCATTTTGGACTCCCATGGTCACCTTCAGAACTAACGGAGGAACTGCCTTGATTACTGAAACTCATGCCCCCTAATCCGCAGTTGGCTACTCTCAACTTGGAGTACTTTTGTAGGTGGTGTATCAGTCCAACAATCATCTACTTTGATGAATGATCATCTCTAATTATTCTTTTTGAATAGTTTGTAAAGTCTACTCTCCCGACTCATTAGCTTTCAGATACACACTTTGGTGCCGTTTTCCAGTGCGATTAGGAAGGGGCTTGTAAACAGAGGCAAATGAGGGGTGCACAGTCACGGTAGGCTCCATGAACACCCGACACTAGCCTATATTTGAAGTCATACCCGGACTTGCCGTTGACCCTGAGAAGCCCTTTCTCCCGTTTTCTCCCTAGTCACCGGTATTGACACCCATGAATACAGCCGTGTCGGATCCCGCCAAGCTTTGCGGGGGAATCCCCGCATGCTCCAACGCCTCCTGTGGATCTAGTTGTTCGGCTTCCTTCGGAGATATTCCGAAAAACGCAGCGTCGAAGTTTTCCATCCCGTCAACAAAGTATCCAAGCGTAGTCACGTTGTCCAATATCCGTGCATTGGCACCATCGCGACAACGGTACGCTTCCCATCGTGCGGGCGTCGTCTCGCTGCATGCGTCGGACTTGCTCGCTTGGAAGTCCCACAGTTCTTCCAATGAGTTATTGTCGCCTGGCAACCCACACGCAATGTCAATCACAGCCACGTCGTGGGGTTGCTCCTATAGAGGGATAAAGGAATGTCAGTGTACCATATATTTGGCTTCGTGGAGTGGCGATCGTAGTAGGAAAGCGCGAATACACAAATTGAAGTCAGTGTCAATAGACAGTGTTGGGGAATTGGCAAGGGACAAGATGTGGGATTGGAGATATCAGCAAGAATATGCTCATCACTATCAGATATCTCTGAAGTCCGCCGAGGCAAAGGGCTGCGAAAGGACAAACTGACCGTGGAAGCTGTGGCAGGAGTCTGTTCATTGTAACTCGGTTCGTCGACGACGTCCTTGTGCATTCTCTTTGCACCTCGGGGACTTGAAATTTCGGATGCACAAATACCGTCTGGATGCTACAAAGAGAGTACTAGTTATGCCTGAGCAGGCAAATTCCAGAAAGAGGAGGCGGACTGCAGTGAGCGCAAGATTGAGTTCCAGTCTTACAGATTTCTCGAAATACTGTGCTGCGTGGGGTCTTTTTTGAAAGGTCCATTAGGCCTCCCGGGTACATGCCGTATGCAATGACATGCTGCATCGCATTCTACACAGCTGATCATAGTAGAACCATCTGCTATAGTGACAGCGGTAATCATATGCACCTCGGTTGGCAACATATAGGCGGAAAAAGCTTGAACGCTGTTGACGCAAATGCTTGCGCAGTATGGTTTCAGCCATGTAGGATGTGCTCAAGATGTCACGACTGAAACTGTCGTCAGATCGCAATAACACTTACAGGTATTCTGTTTGCGAGCATAAATATAAGCTCTCGTGCCGGCATCAAGAATCAAGATATGAAGTAGGCATGGTAACTTGACTCTCGGCCGGTAATCCGGCAGCGGCGAGATTCCGGTTACGCTAATCTTGAATAGATTGAATAGGAAGGAACACGGTTTTAGCTAGTAGTAGGTACTACTAGGTATTGTAAGCCTTGCTTGCTGGTACACAACCGGTGAAAGCATTTGGCTTTTACAAAGGCTGAAAATTTAAATGTGTGTCGTTTTCATGGCAATCAGTCGCTCAAGGTGAGATGAAATGGGCTCTTGAGACAGGTTCCTGGAAACCTAGTCAGTACGTGAGTGGTCCTAGGCCTAGCGGACGCACACAAAGATGATACCTGGCAAGGATCCAACAATCTGGAGGTTTCATTGTGACCTTGACTCGTAGAGTATACTTGCTTGCTTCTTATCTCTGGATTGTACTCGTTTTTGACTGACAGACAATTGATTGAACCATACTAGGCTTGTGACGTCAACAAATTCGACATGTTGACAATGCGCCGGTTTTGGCCAAGATTCCTTATCAAAGATCTTGTACATGTGATTGTACACCGGTCTAGCATCCCTTTGTGTCTGAGATAGATTGGAGGAAGGAGGAGAGCGAGCGCAATGTATATAGCCCAGCAGGCAGCAGATACTTGCGAGGAGAAACTCTTCAACCACATACAACCCACAGTCACTGTATACTTTGGCTGAGACCTTCTATCGACAGCCATGATTTTTTCAGTGCTCTCCCTATATGCGTATTCTTCTCCGCTGGGATGGATTATGTTATTAATGGTCGCAGCGCTTATCCTAGGGCTGTACCTGGCGTATGCTACAATCGTGGCCTATCAAAGATTGTCGCAGTTCCCCGGCCCGGTTTGGGCGCGATTCACCAATCTACCGCGAGTAAGATGGCTGCAAACCGGCCGTTCGCACGACATTCATATGGATCTTCATGAAAAATACGGCACATTTGTTCGCCTGGGTCCGAACATGATATCCATCTCGGATCCCAACGCCCTCCCCACGGTGTATCCAAGCAGGCCTGGTGTCAAGAAGGTATGTCAGTTTCTCATCAAGCTGAGTTTGATGGTTGCTTAGCTTTTGAACACTGGTAAGGGAAACTTCTACCGAGCCCTGACGCCATTCGTTGGCAAGGGGGATCCTTTGCCTCTCGTCTTTAACACCCGAGACGAAGCCTTTCACCGCGTTTTCCGAAGGCCGATCGCCCCGTTGTATACGATGGCCAATGTTTTGACCTACGATTCCACCGTTGATCGAGTCCTTGATCTTCTCGTCGCACAGTTGGATGCGCGATTTGCCGAGCCGAGGCGAATATTTGACCTGGGCTCGTGGCTGTAATTGTTCGCTTTCGAGAGTATGGCTTCCATGACCTTCTCCAAGCGATATGGCTTTCTAGAGAAAGGAATAGATGAAACGGGGCTTCTATTCACCATCGGAAAATTCTTGAAAATGGCATCTCCTGCAAGTTAATGCCGCTCCCCTTCATGTGGCAGCTCAGACGAGTGATTAACATACTAATGCTGGCACCAGATCACACAAATACCCTGGGCGGACTTTCTCTGGAACAAGAATCCCATTGTGGCTCGCCTCATGCCTACCACTGCGCAGCCCATTATGGACGTGGTAATGACCAGAATCCACCAACGTCAGCAGGAGGTCGAAAAGGGCGGAATGGAGGGCCAGCCCAAGACCACCAAAGACTTCCTCTCGCAGTTCAAGGAAGCCCGCGATCGGTATGCGGACACAGTCGGCCCAGGGTAAGAGGCCCAGTGTTCGGTAGCCACAAAATCTCCCGATCTAAAATCCTCCTCTCAGGGCCGTGACCGCCTGGACATTCTCGAATGTCTTGGCGGGTTCCGATACGACTGCGGTGGCAATGAGAACCCTCTGGTACAACCTCCTCACCCACCCGAGCTCGATGGCAAGTCTGCAGGCTGAGCTTGAATTCCAAGAAGGCGCTGGTAGAATGTCGCGGCCACATCCACCGTGGAGCGTGATTACCGATTTACCTTACCTGGACGCCTGTTTGAAGGAAGCCCTGCGCTTGCACCCCCCGTTCTGTCTGCCGTTCGAGCGGATCGTTCCTGAAACAGGCATGACTGTCTCCGGCCGCTATCTCCCTCCCGGAACGACTGTTGGTATGAACCCATGGGTGATCAATCGGAATAGAGAGGTGTTTGGTGAGGATGCCGACATGTGGCGGCCAGAGAGGTGGCTGTCTGATGCTCACAGTCACACCATCATGGAAAAGACTATGCTCAGTGTATGCACTACCTCAGACGACAGTGTCGAGATGCTGATCCAAATGGGATATAGTTCGGAGCAGGACGACGTATGTGCCTGGGTAAAAATATAGCCATCTTCGAGATCAAAAAGTTGACTGCCACACTCCTACTCAAGTACCATGTAAGCTGGGGTGTTACCGTTCACAGAGGTTGATCTGACCTTGATCCAGGTTCGAATCCAGCACCCGGAGCATTTCAAGACGGAGAATTATTTTTTCTTCCACCAGACTGGTCTGATGGCAACGATTGAGAGGCGGTTTTAGTTCAGCTTTGCTGGCAATAGGACAAAGTGGGCTGAAAGCTGCAACGGCGCCTTCATCGGGGTGACGAGGGAGCTCAAGTCCGACTCGTGAGTGTCTTCAGAGTAAGTCAGTGAGAGTAGAGCTGCTTTACCATCGTGCGACAAGAGTGACCAAGCGCGAGTTAGGGTTGGTGGTATTTTTAAGTCTCGTAATACCTGTTGAAACAGAGGTATTACGAGGCAATCCCGCTGCTGTCACACGTTGTATGATACCTGCTGCCAACCATACTCAGCCTGTCTCTTACTCCTGTTATTTGGCGGTCTTTTGAGTACTGATACTTCATACATTCCACCTTAAAAGCTGTCTACTGAGCTAGTATCTTGGAATAATTCTTAAAGACACGATCTGGTTTGCAACACCCAGCTAAGTAGGGAGCCAATTCCAGTCACCAGGGCTGAAGGTCAATCATAGTTGTACAGTCCCAGGGATTATGTCTCAGCTATCTCGCTAAGAGCTCTACAATCGAGCGAAGTTCGAATATCATATCAACGATAATCCCCATATCGTCGATAAATGGCGTGGCTCACAAGGTAGGGCTGGTACTAGACCAGCCCCATGTTCAGGGAGCCAATCACGTATAAGGCGGGGGAAACAAGAATGCTTACGTAGCTGGTCCCCTGCATGCATTAGAAACTGTGGCGGATTTTGCGGGGATTGAAACAAAGGAAGTATAATTCCGCGGCAAATTGCTAATAAGGGATGACCATTCAATCTTAGACTCGGTATGTATTTTTCTTTGTTCTTTGTTCAAGGCTCGGCTGGGAAGGAAGGATTTATACTTTCTTCTACTGATACCTAGCAGATATGTGTAAGAAGAAGGACGCTTATCTACACAGAGTATAATAGTTCATGTTGTGGTATTTCCATGCTACTGCACGTAAAGCTTAAATGATATGTGCCACAGGCCCGTGCCGGGTACTACCCTCACGTAACTAGCCGCCCTCCAGCCTGCTAACGCAGGAGGGGCACGACCCTAGAAACTTCCCTTAAGCCTTTTGTACGTACACACAGTTAGCCCCCTAGTTAGAACCATTAGAAGTCTTCCTTTGGCCCCTTTGCAATATGCACTAAAATCTTTCATAGAATGATCTTACTACCTAAGTTTAATTGATACATTTCCGGTATCGAAATCTTTGTTATGATTCGCTTGAAGAGTACGTACCCAAGAAATAAGAGAAGGATATGACATTCGATAATTCTGTCGGGCTACAATGAATAAGTCAAGGCTTTCGACCTCTGTTAGGAGTGCATGCTTGTCCTTGAAGCTTTTCACCGAGTCTCTCCGCCCCTGAATTCTAGTCAACGCCACCTTGAAACTCTAATAGCGCCACGATTGGCGACATATTGAGCCTAACCTGTCTGAGGTATACTATGAGGTATGGAGTCTTCAAAGAAAGTCTAACCTATGCCCAAAAAGAGGTAAGACAGTTCCTGGCGCTCCTTGGAATGATGGCGCTAGATGTTATGATCATAATATGCTGCAATATTCTTAACTTCTAAGGGTTAGTGCGAGTGGAATGAGAAGGTTCACCTCCCTAGTTGATTCCCTTCTGGACACATAGTATGCGTGACAACAGTCCGGTCTTACCGAGAAGTATATAACGCGAAGGTATCGTTGGTCCGCATTAGAACTGTTGCGAAATACAGTTTATATTCATCTCGTCGTTATTCACCAATATGAGTTACCGCCGTCTCCTCTCGGGCGAATTTTCAGATGAAAAGTCAGGTCACTTGAACAACCAGGCAACCTTCACTGCCCATGTGCTTCTGCATCCTATTACCAAGATCATTATTCTCATTATGATTTTGATTCTGAGCTTGTTGAATCTGCCTATTTCAATCATAGAACTTGAATCGAGGTCGTGTGTATCGAAGCATAGCACCGAAGACACCGTTCCCACGCTATTCACACAAGACAAACAGTTCCAGTCGCTCGATCGTTCATTTGATCATCTATGGTCAGAGCTATCAATGAACAAGACCACAGCTGGTCTAATCTATACCGGAGAGAAAGGGAACAGGAAGGAGCAAGGAGGTATCAGCATGTGAGTCAATGTTGGAGTTAGCGATATTGACCTACTTACAACGTCTAACAGGTTTCATCAATTACACTGCCTGACAATGATGCGCCAAGCCCTCCAATCTGCGAGTGAGGGTGAAGAGATCGGTAAAGATTGGCATGACGATGGTCACTGGCCGCACTGCATGGATTACTTGGCCAAGGTAGCTATAACTCACTGACCTCAGTCTTGCTGGCTTGCTTCTAAGGCTGACTATATGCGCTCATAGACGATTCTATGTTTTGCTGATGGGTCGATTGAGAAACCGATCCAGGGGGAAGAAGGCATTCTATTCATAGATGGATCCAATGTTGTTAGGCAGTGTAGACCCGCACAGCCACTGTATGATCTGTATAGAGAAAAAGCTGTATAAACTGTCCCGCATGCAATTTTGCGCTGATTAGCTCAGTCCAGTCAAGTTGATTGTTGACCTTTTCCCCCAAAAGTAGAGCACAGATTACAAAAAACAAAAGAATGCTAATCCAGAGAAGTCACATTCCCCTCCAGTCCCGCTAACTTCATCTCCCTCACACCGACCGAAGAAGCCATTTCCCCGCCCGCCACGCCGCCACGCTTCCATCAAGTCCCTGCCTTCTCCGACTGGACTTTCGTGCAATCTGGCCATCGAAGAATGCCTTTCGGATTCAGACTAGTGGGGCCCGTTCATGCAGAAGCCGCTGACTATCCATCCCGTTGAAATGTGGAGTCGCAAACGCGAAGATCCGCTCTAGGTCCACATCGGTATTCATCGTGTGAGAGGCCGGCGTGATCCTTCGATATGAGACTCATAGCATTCAGTAAGCAAGCAGGCTACTTAGCCTAATACCGGTTGACTACTCTGATACTGTACGAGATTGAAGGGCTATGATACCCACAAACATGAGAAGCTAATACAAAAGTGTCCAAGACAACGAAGTGTTTTTATTATATCAGACAGTACTGTACCTGTTGCCCAATTTCACTGCACGTCCTGGATCATCAATCCTCCGCGTACCAACTCAAGAACAACACTAATTATATACCTCAACGCCCACACTGCTCCCCATAGCGCGGTGACCATGCGTCCATCCAGCCCCCCCACCGCTAACAACCACACCCACAAGCCGGACACCCTCCCCTCCCACACGCATACGTCGCCGTCCCGCAGTCCTGCCACTTGCTGCACTTGATCCACGCGCCCAGCCCGGCCTTGGCCGCTGTCCAGCACCACTCGCCCTTGTTCGTGTTCCCGCAGGCCTTCCAGCAATACCCACCAGAGCACCCGTACGGCGCGTCTTTGTAGCACGACCGCTTCTCCAGGGCTTCGAGGCCGTCGAGGCCGTCCGAGCGCGCCTCCACGGGACTGGAGCCTGTGCCCGTGACGGTGTCCACCGTGCTGTTCTGCCAGAACGCGACATCCACCGCGTCGAGCGGCGCCAGCGATGCGCCCTTGACAGGCCGGTTCCGGCCGAGCGGGTGGTCCAGGCATTTCCGGACGTCGCTGGGGGCAACGCCCGCGGGGAGGTCGGCGGGGTCCACGGTCAACACGTCCAGGTCGCCGCATTCGACGACGGGGTCGCCTTGTTCCGCGTCGCGCGGGGTGAGGGTCAGCGCGGTGGTGAGGGCGAGCATGCTGATGATGGTGAGGGGGAGCTTCATTGTGGATGCGGTGGCTGGCGATTATGGGAAGGTCAGTATGCTTATGGAGCTGAGAGGAGAAGAGAGAGAAGCAGAAGAGAGGATAAGGGGTGATACCTGTTTTAAGTGAGAGATGTGCGTTCTTGGGCCAGTGGGGAGAGTGGATATGGATATCAGACTGTGTTCCTTCAGACTGTTTTGTTGTATGAGGGATAGACCTAGCTGGATAAATACTGTGGATGAATGGGAATGGGTCAGGCCTTTTATATTTCATCTGGAAAAGAAATGAGCGTTTACTTCTCAGGAACGATACTACCCTCGACAGCCTGGGGGGCTCTCGCCTCCGGTGGGCTGATCACCGTACCTGGTCCCCGTCTTGACGAGCAGGATTATGACAAGGAAGAGGACCGCTGACAAGGTCGGTGACCGCAGGCGCAAGGCATCCTCGGCCCCCGTTGACCCCTGGTTATATTTCACCAGCACCAATCCCCGGGCCTGCTAGTCGTGGATTTCATGTATTCCGGGGCTGGCGCAATGCAGCTAGAGAACGTCCGCATAGGTCTCGTAGTCGGTGGATACCCTGGTGCAGCTGCCTGTGGGTTCTGAAATTTCCCCTTGTCCTGAGCTATGAAACCAGGTCTAATCAGTAATATACTGGTCTTCTAAAGCCTTGGCCGTCGACATACGCTGTATAATGAGCACGGCCACTGGCCTCTCCCAAAGCCTTTGCGCCCACGCAAGTTATCGTTCAGTCAAAGGATCTTTGGTTAGTCTTTCGGAGACTTTCTCTGCCTATGTTACTGGATTCTGGTTGACTCCGGCAATTTGGCTAGTGCGATGGGGAGTGGCAGGACTCTAAATCAGGATCCCAGCTCGGAGGGGGTGAGGAATGCCGAGACCCAGTACTCCCTCAACCCCTCAGAGCTTTTTCTGAATCACGTAAGCTTGAAGATAAACCCCTAAGCCTCTTTTTCTATTCGAAATATCAGGGTTCTTAGGGGCTGAGGGCTTCTATATGAGGATTGCATATAGGGAAATACACTTGAATATCCTCTCACATCAAGGTAGTTGAGGTTTTGTTGGGTTCAAAATACCTATCATAAACATAAATCAAGTCTCATGTCTGAAATGTTCTAACCCTCTAGAAGATCACATGTTTTTGATCTTGTGATCCCCTCGCACTAATCTCTGACGCCCCTCAGCGCTGATAATCTAAACGAATCTTTTGGAGTCTGCTGTTAGGATGGTTATTTTCACCTCATATGGCCAATTAGCGTTGAACTTCACGGTCTGGATGGGAGACTTACTAGGTACCGCTTCAAGGGTTCAAATCCCTGCAGTACCCCACCGTTCTAGCAAAACCACTGGAGCAATCGTACTCTAGAATCGGACAAACGTCGGTGTCCGTTAGAAGAGTTTTCGCCAAGTGCCATCATGATCGCCGCCAACCAATCAACACCCCTGTCATCTCTTGGTTGTCTCAGACCCTTGACGACGCAGCGAGTCAGCCACCTCGAGCTGAGACACAGGAGCAATAGCGTCTTATTCTTGCGCTTGTTCACAACAGGCAAAAGCTGGGCTGAGCCGTGCATCGCTAGAGTAATCGACGCCCGTGGCAACGTTTGGAAGAGAAAGCGGGCCACGAGCCTCGACACCTCGCTCTGCTTGGCCTCTGCGGAGTATCTGAGACTACCTATATTATGTATCTCCGTGGTGGCACCATGATTTGTCGTCTTAGACTTGTTTGATGTCAACAGAGCATCACTCCACAAGGTCCCATGGTCGCCAACCGATTAGCATCGAGTACTATCGGGGGAGAAAAAGGGTTGTTTCACCACTCAAAGTTCGGGCCGGACCGCGTCTTCGCAATCCTGACGTTATGAAGATGGCACCCTATTCTAACTAGATGCGAAGACCTCCCTTGGGCCTATTTTCGTGGACAAGAGCGGCGACAGCATGAGACCTCACAGAGGGCGCTCCATGACTCAAATCCTCGGGTTGGATCGATCCTTGCCTGGTAAGTGAGTCCCTTTGTGCATCCATGATCAATGTTGCCCTGTGATCACATGGCAGGCAGCAAGCAAACGAGGATTAGCGACCAATCGGGCTGCCTGGGGCGACTTTCGACCACGTCGCCTGTTTACCTAGTACCCGACGCCGGGGGCCTTAGGGCTTACATTGTGTATAAAGAAGCCGGCTCCCCACCAGCCAGGCCAAGCGCTGAGATCCAACACCGAACGTCACCACGCCCCTCCTCAACACGTGAGACATTCATCCTTGCCCGCTAGTAGCAGCCAAGATCCAAGCCGCTGCTTCCCGACGTATTAATCTCTTCGTTGCCCAGAGCATTAGCGCCTGCCACCTTTGCCTTCCTACTCGTCAAATTCCGCTCAAGTATTTCAACGTGAGTTTCAAAGGTACGAAACCTCCTTCCCCACCATCTGTCTTGCTAGACCAGCCCTCTTTCTCCTCATTTGTGTTTGAAATTCCAGTGCTAACCACACCACTCTATAGCCTTCCCGCCAGACCCACCACCTCCGACCTCAACATGAAGCCCATCACCTACCTCGCCCTCCTCCTCGGCCTCTCCGCAACCACCGCCCACGCCGCTCTCCGCCCCGACGCAACCCCCGAAGAGGTCGCCGCGGCGGAAGCCGAGTGCGGGTCCCTGGGCGTGATGAGGATCGACCCAGCCGAGCTGCCCGAGGGCGTGACGATGGCCGACGTCCGCATGTGCGCCGACCATCCCCTCGGCGCCCGAGCGATCCCGGGTCTGGGTCCTGGGACTTTGGCCAGGTTCCGTCGGTTCTTGCCAAGTTGGATGTTCTGAGCGGACGACCGGCTTCGGGAAGGGGATCCGAGGCCCTGTAGCGAGTAGGTAGGTAGTCCGGCGCGCGGTGTTTCTTTGGCGTATGTAGGGGCATATTTGTTCACGTCAGACATGGCTTACCGCGCCCCGGCAACGGGTGGGAGGGAGCAGACGATTGGGGATGGACTTCTGGGAGATGGATGGATGTTGTTTGATATTGATTCTGAGAAAGGTTGAATGATATAGTGTGGCGGGAGAATAATATTCGGATGTGACAACGTATAAGATTGAGGGATAATGGTCATGAGCAGTTTTGAGTAAGTAGGTTATCAACTATGTTGATATCAGCGTGGTAATAACCTGCCCGCGCAGCGTATATAGACTACTTGGTCGGCCGTTCCAGGGAACAGACATTGAACCGTTCTTTCATCAGTAAGTGAGAGTATTAGTATTTCCCATTCATGGTGCGTCTACAGCTTCTCCTCTCCTCCTCTTCGTTATTGCAGCCGGGGCTTGGATCCAAGCCGTGCAGGATCACAATAGCAGGGCGATCTACGCTGCTCCCCAAGATGTGATCGATACAGATCCCCTATCGTAGAATCAGCGAAGAAGACGCAATATTTTTGACAGTTCCCTGAACATGTCCAGCCCGGATAACATCCCTACATAGCAAGGCTTTATCAGCTAACGACATGTGGTGTATGCCATCGAATGCAGCGCAGAAAAGCAACGAGCTATTGTAGCGCGGTCTTAATCTTCTACCCCCTGTACCATTCTTGTTGAGTTATCCTGATTCTCGGCTCTTTCTCTCTGCTTGGTTTCGTGCTGAGTCCAATGTGGTGGGTTATAATGCGGGTGACCGAAAGCTTGGAGTAGATGTATGATTGAAAATCAAAGCTCAATTGTATTTATCGTAAACGTAGACATATAGCTCATTATTTATGACTACTCATCTATAAACGGATACATTGATAGCAGTCACAAGAGGTGGTCCAAGAGATAAACTGAGCACTTCAGCTGTTCCTGCCTTTCAATGCGGCGTCATGCAATTAGCCCCGACCTAGGCCCGGATCCAGGCCAAGCTGCTTGCCGAATTACTGGCCTTTCATTAAATCTATGACCGCCAAAATATGTAGGGTGTAGGGTAGTAGCCTTCGATTCGAACGTCAAGTCCAGAGGATCTACAAAGAGTCGATCTACGCTGCTGCCGTATGTGAACTCTGACAAGCAAGTGATTGCCGGTATAGTTTACGATGTTCTAGCCCAGAGAAACACCAAGATAGGGAATAAGCCTCTGTCTTGCAAGAATATAGAGTGTTTTACAAAACAGCCAGGTACATACGACCACAGGGTGTGGAAAACAGGGCTTCCCGTCCGCTCAGCCGTACTTAAGCCACACGCCGGGAGGTTAGTAGTTGGGTGGGTGACCACCAGCGAATCCCTTCTGTTGTATGTTTTTTTCATCTACTGGCTGTACATACTGTAGTCATACCAAATCCAACCGACTTATACTGGGCTCACGGAGGATCGCTACTAACTAGTCTTGCCATTTCTCGTTTGTTGACCGTGGCTGTCTGGCTATTGTGGTCTGCATAGAGTCTGTTGGATGAAATACAGAAGATAGCTAGAAAAGGTTAGTGGACAGAAATGCACATACTTTCAAGACAATGAGACGGTTTACCGAAACTAAACGGACGTCTTTAAATAAAAACTACTTTGCCCTGTCTCTCTCTAAGAGCTGCATTACCTTCTGCTTATCTTCGGCCATTTGAGATTAGTTTCTGTCTCGCCAAGGAGCCGACCTTAACCATTCCTCAGTCACCATAATCTGATAACCAAGCTCAACCTGACCAGGCCGGCAGAAACGGGGGGGCTGCCAGTGTTTTTGAAACCGTCGCAAACATTATTCCAAAGGGCTCAGGCTCGAAAGCCCAATCAAGCCCTTTCCACGTGGGATACTGCAGCTACAGATCTGTCTAAGGCGCCAAAGTTGGCTATTGCTTGTAACAGGCTCACCGGGGCAGGGGTTATGCTCCACTTGGAGCTCCGTGGCGATAACTTAGGGCTTCCGCTGTTCCTATGACCACAACCACTACCAATGTGAGTCACGTGGGTTGAATCTCTAGAGACTAAATAAGAACACAGCTTATCTGACACCAAACAACTCTCTCCATTATATCGTGAGCGACTCGACATGTATGCCCTCCCGGGCGCAGAATGTATACTCAATCTCCAACCGAGCCGCAGACGCCCTACCCCGGGGGATATACGTATACGACAATGCCTCAATCCTCTGCCATAACAGAATCTGTTCTATGCACCGTGGTGCCATTTGCTCTTGCCCAGCGACTCCACCACCACCACCCTCTTCAATCTCGATGACCCGCTCCACGACGCGAGCAGTCAAGATGCTATCCCACGCCGCCTCCCGCATCGGTTGCCGTCGCAAAATCTCGAGGACTCGACGGCGGACAACCGGATGCCGGCACTTGACGCCGACGATGAAAAGAACGGGAATGAGGCCGATTTCCGGCGTGAACGTCGCGCGCGCCGACGACCCCACATACCGGTGATGGGCCGCCGCGACCTCGCCCGCCAGTGCGATGCATTGCTGGAACTGGGGCAGGAACTTGTCATAGTCCATTTCTCGGCCGGGTCCGTATCCCTCGAGGAGGACCCGTGCGATAGTATGTTGCAGACGGAGGAGTGTTACGAGCGGGTTGGTTTGTGAGGCTGGGGCAGAGGGGCTGCTGCTGCTGCTGCCTGGTTGCAGCAGGAGGGCTTCGAAGCGACGCGACCACGTTTCCAACTGCCCGCGGACGGTGTAATTGAGGGAAGAAGGCAATGGCGGCATCGTACCTGTTGGGGATATCTGGTGATCGGTGTTGCGAAGCCGCATTACCTGAGTAACGAGCATCTGGAGGTGGTCGGCGGCTTGGTCGAGGGACTGGAAGGGACTGTTGTCAGAAAGAGCTAGATGGGACATTGTGAATGTCTCTTGGAGATCAGCGGGAGTCCAGTCGACCAGGAACATGACGGCCTGCATGTCCAGGCGGCGAATTTGCTGTGTAACCTGGTCGATAATCACGTCATTCCCCCAGGATGGGGCGTCGTCATCAATGTAGCAGCTGAATGTAGCGTTGTTGATGATGCTGCGGGAGAGCGCAACGCCTCCGCGCAAGTGCTTGACTGCTTGAACGTTGTCGCCCCCTAGATGATCGAGACAGGTGAAGAGGTAACAGATCATCAGTGTGACCGCTATGGTTCCGGTGCTGTCACGCTTCTCCGTGCTCAGCAGAAGTTGAATGGCGCAGTTATAGTGAAGCAAAGGGGCGTGATCCGGTAGTCGGTCTTTCAACAAAGGTGGTTGATACTGGAATCCATTGTTTGAGTGACAATCCAGGTAATAGTTTCGGTGAATCAAGGCCAGGGCAATGGCAGCATGCCGCACTGCAGGCACTGTTTGAGCGAAGAACATGAGAGTTTGCCGCCATGATTCGCAAGGGCGGTATTCATTCAGATGCTTGATCGAGACATCCCTGAAGAAGGACATAATCTCTGCCTCGGTTGACGCAGTAACTGGTAGGATCATAAAGGGTTGAAAATCCTGCGAATTGAGACCATGGTACTTCGAGTGCCATCGCGCGGACTCGTACGCACTGATTGTCGTACGTGGGTGGTAATTGTTACAGATATCTGCTCTGCCAACGATCTCCTTATGATGAGGAGTTGTTTCAGTCTCAGCCTTCTCGAGCTTGGATGTGAAGGTCATTCCACTATAGCCATCGCAAGTGCGGCCGGTCGAATAGCATTTCAAGCATGCGGGTCGAGCTAGATCGCATTTTATCCGTCTTATCCTGAGAAATGTCAATTTTGTAGTCTTTGACTGCCCTTCCTAATGCAAGATGCAAAAGTCAAGACATACTTGCATGTTTTACATCCCAGTCTGGACTTTGGAGCGAACTTGCGAGGCTTTTTTCTCCAAGCTTGATTACCCGCCTTGGTATTCTCAGCCTTCATCTCAACCATCGTGGCGATGTGCCCTGGATGGGCTCTGCAAATGCGCAGCGTTTCAGGCACAGGACTTTCAGAACCACCACGTGCATGTATTGAGACCGAAAGGTGAGCTTTTGGGGCGTCTACAGAAAGTTTGAGATAACAATCTGTTTGTCGGTTCACACGCCAGTGAGGAAGCTATCGCCACATCCCTTATGGTGGACGGCTGGGAGAGAAACAGGGGACGATAATACAAAGTGCAAAGAGCCGAAGCTGGGGAAAGTCTGCACTTGATGAATTTGTTCGTACAAGCGGGGGTATTTCAACAGGAGTTTTCAGTGAGGGCGAATGATTGCATCAGTAGCTTAGACTCTACCTAATCTTGGAACCCATGATATGACTCCAGGACTCACTGCACGGACCTCAGATAAATCTTACCTTACTTTTTAAAGACTAGTGGCACAGATTATGAGGAAGTTGATTGGTCAGCTCGTACAAGTGGGCCATCAAGGAGGCTGAGCTGGGCCCATTTGACTATTCTGAATAAGGCGCAAGTATCCGACAGCGTAAACATACAGACAAGAGCATGAATCTCAATTAAATCGTGATCACGCATGCTGGGGTTGAAGAAAACCATTGATTGGTTCATTCGTACAAGTGGAACAGAGTGCGAAGGAGGTGTTTTGAATTGATAGGAAGAATACAGCTGCCTATTGAGCTCTTCAGATTCAACGTTACGATCTAGAGGATATAGTTAGTATAAATAGTTCCTCAACATCGGTACAATTGCAAGAAAACCAGCACAAAGATCAATAAAAAGGCCCCGGGATTGAAAATGAACCGATTTGCGAGCGCGCTCTTCCTTTTGATGAGCTTGGGATCGAAAGCCCAGAGTTTACATGATCGGGCCATGGTCTATGGCTTTGACAACGTGAGTTCGCAAGTCTACGATACCACAGTTGCCCAAGGGTTTCGAGCTCCTGACGAGTCATCTAGATTGAACCATCAGCCAACCTCACATGGACACCATGTTTTGATGCCTTTGGTTGTTCCAGGCTGGAAGTTCCTTTGGACTATGCGAACCGAAGTCTTGGTACAACGTCGATTGCCTTCATCAAGCTGGCTGGCAAAAATGCAACCGTCGAGTCTCCAAGTATTGTACTCATACCTGGTACGATCCCATTCGATCCATCATGGCAACATTGTACATCCTCTACTGGACTGACATTCACCAGGCGGCCCCGGTGGTTCTGGTGTCGACCTCCTCCTCACGTACCAGACTCTCGTGGGACAAATTTTTGGAGAGCAGTACAACTTCGTCTCCTTCGATCCTCGCGGTGTGAACAACAGTGGCTTGCATCTAGACTGCTTCTCAGGGGACGCAGAAGCAAGATCGGCTTTCTATCGACTACACAGAACAGGCGCTACCAATGTTTCGTCGACATCGTTGGAGGAACAGTACTATTCAAGCTCGATCTACGGCGAGTGGTGCAACAATGCCGTGAAAAGCCAGTCACCACATGCGTACCATGTGACTACGCCCGCCGTTGCTCATGATTTGCTCACATTCACCGAAGCCGAGGCTGAGGTGGCCGGTCAGTCACCGTCAGCCGCCAAATTGTGGTGCTATAGCATTAGCTACGGGACTGTCATCGGAAGCACTTTCGCTTCCATGTTTCCTGACCGAGTTGGAAGAATGGTGCTCGACGGAGTCATGAACGCAGAGCAATACTACAACGACTATTGGACGGACAATGTCGATCAAATGGACGAGGCCATGGAAACATTCTCAACCTTCTGCCACTCCGCAGGCCCTGCCAAGTGCTCGTTTTGGGGGCCCACATCGGCCAACATCACGGCGAGGATGGGTGGCATCATCCGTCAGCTTCAGAACCATCCCGTCCCGCTGAGCGGCGTCGGCGATCCAGGTTCGCTGCCGACAATGGTCACTTACTCAGATTTGAAGACTCTCTTTCTCAACACGCTCTACACCCCACTGGCAAGTTTTCCTAGCATGGCTGATATACTAGATGAAGCCGAGAAGGGGAACTTTTCCGCTCTTGCAGGCATGTACGACCAGTCAAATTCTATAACCGATGCCCGGCTCGCTATTACCTGCACCGATTCGTATCGGAGAAACAAGCTTACTACCATTGAAGAGTTCAGGACTTGGGCGGAATACACGATTTCCAAGAGCAAGTACATCGGTGATATCTATCCAATCTATCTGGAAGGAATCTTGTGCCGATCATTCCGACCGCAGTTGCCTGATAGCATGGTAGTTCAAGGTATGCAACGCTCTTTTGCTCTCTCTCTCTATCTCGCCTTTATAGTATTCTATAGACTTCACCTTCGACAGAGTGGGTGGCCATGTGCACTAAAATCCAAGTCTAACCAGGTTGTGATGTAGGTGATATCAGCGCATTGAAGACGCCTACGTCCTTCCCGATCCTCTTTGCGAGTAACACCATCGACCCTATAACGCCGCTGATCTCGTACGTCCCTGGCAAATAGCATTGTCATTGGCTACCTATTCTTCTAACTGACATTATCTTGTCGTAGGGCGCGCAAGATGTCCTCTCGGTTTGCCGGATCAGTACTTTTGATGCAAGAAGCCGTTGGTGTAAGTATTTTCACTTCACGATCGATCTCATCACCCTCTCAACTAGGAGTTTTTGCTTACACGCGGGATGGTTCCGTTGCATTCAGCATACGGTCATTGACCAAGGCGCGTCAGACTGTTACTTTGCAAAGATTCAGGCGTACTTCCAAGGCATAGTTCCGTCAGCGAATACTACCTGCCCGCGGCAGTACACCCCTTTCATAGATGCATCTCCATTCTAATGGTTGTCCAAAGAGGTGAGGAGGAGAGGGGAAGTTCGGGCACTTCCAGGAAAGGATTTATCAGTGCGAGACAAGTGCTGGATTTTCAAAGTATGTGGCTCATATACACCCATTTTTATGGGGGTGCTTTCCCAGCTGTTATTGACTCATAACATCTATTCTTTTACTTTCAAGCGTGGGTCGGAAACGTGACGAGTATTTATTATAGTCAGTTTCCGCTTACGAATTCGTTTGAGGACTCGTGCGAGTCTGCAACAAGTCAGTCATTCATGCCACTCAAGAACAACTGTCGGGTCCAACCGTATACTTTGCAAGCCTTCTTCTATCGGGAATTAACTGGACCGAGTTTGGTATTCACGAGCATATCGTCAACGTCCATTCCTCTAATAGTGGAGTTTTGATTCACAAAGCTAACTCTGAATCTACTTATTTTCCCGAATACTCATCTGCTCTTGCGTTTTGGAGTGCTTACCAATTACCGACAAAAGAAACAGACCCTTTAGTCTCATGGAATGAACTGGTGTGACATTATGACCGTGTCAAGGGGATTAGATTGACGTAGAGGTAGAGTTCGGCGTAGCTACAGAGCACGATAAATAGATACGAGTATCTGATGAGCCGACGGATGGAGACGGTAGATGATTGTTGAGGCTTAGGAAAACTAGGTAACCACCAAGATAATGACAACTACGTATCGCAACAAACACCATGTAAGGTAGAGTATCCGTGGCCTGACATTCACCCATTCATCCTCTGGACAAGGCTACGAATGGACTCCACCCAAGGGGTCGGTGGACCCTGGAGGACCCGCTTCCGCAGCCTCATCAAACCAGACTAATTCCTCCGCCCCCAAACTAGACATTCCTGCAGGGCGCAAAAGCTTGATTTCCCCCGAAGATATGACGATAGTGACATCGCACCCGAGTTTCTTTCCTGTTCCGGTGAAGTCCAGGATCATTGTTGAGGTGATGATCGGCGCAAGCACAGTCGAAGGTTGAATCAGGGCCAGATAAGAAGCATTTGCCTGAGGGAGATGAGCCGAACTCCGCGACTGCCTGCGCTCTATAAAGAGCCTGCTCATTCCCAGCTCACCAGTTTATTCTTCATCAATCCAAGCCATCCTCCCAAGAGAACCAGATTCAAATCATCTCTCCCTGTGATCTTGTTCTCATCTCGTCCACAAACTCAGTCCACGCCACCCCAAACCCCGCAAAAGCCAAATCCCGCAACCATGATCCCCCCCACCCACCTCCTCGGCACAGTTGCCCTCCTGGCGACCTGCGCCCGCGCCATCGAGTTCAGCGTCATCATCTCCACCGCGGGCGACGACTGCGACCACAGCTTCGGCTCCTCGGACTACCACTACCTGGAGGTGGACGGGTCGCAGACGATGGAGGTGCTGACGACGGCGCAGTGCCTGGCCGTGGGCGAGGACGAGTACGACGTCGACATCGGCTGGTCCAACCTCAGCGGCCAGGACTACGTGCCGCCCATCTACGCCTGCCCGGACAGCAGCTGCTCCAGCGGCTGCGCCCTGCTGTGGGCCGCCACCGAGTCCAGCAGCACCCAGTGGACCAGCTCGTGCGAGCACGCCTACAACGCCCCGTACCTATTGGTGGATGGGATGCAGAATCAGTGAACTGCCCCGATGCTCCGATTCTCCGATCAGGGTTGACTGCGTTTGCAGTTTGTGAGTGGACGGAGGTAGGGGCGCGGAGGGGTTGCGGTTAGGGTTGTTAGCGAGAATTAGGTATATTTGGTTTGAACGCGAGATGCTGCGTGCGTTGGTGTGGAGGGAGGTTCTCGTTTTGCGTGGTTGGTGCGTCTGTCGGCTTTTATCGATGATTGAACGGTACACGGTTCTGTGCAGGAAAAGGAGATACTTAGTGCTTTCAGAGGAAGGAATGAAGTTATTAGACTGGTAAATTTATGAACTGTGCTCGGAGACTATGGACGATTATCGCGGCTACTCGGCGAGTAGAGCTTCTTGTGTTGACTATTCTCGCTACAGCAATAACCGCCTGGTGGGATTGTATGTAATAGCCAAGTCTGCTTATGATTTTCCAGGAGATTTCTGAGATACTGAGTGGCTGGAATGGTCGTCCGTGTCAAATTGTGATTACAAATCAGACACGAATCCGTCCTCGACTGGAAGTTGATGATTCTTCATGCTGATTTGCTACCTGTCGTCGATGGCTTTCCAGGCCGTTCGAATCTCATATTGCGATGGTGAAGTGGACGAGCAAATCGTGCCCGGGGAGGTGGCGAGGCTCTTTGCGACACTGGTTCCCCTTGTCGGTGTGTTGAGGGCGCCAGCTTCACGAAGAAATTTTGAATCTTATCGCGGGCGGGAAGGAGTGACGAGCCCCGGCCATGTTGCGGTTTCGATGATTGGGGGCAGACGAAAACCTATTATATTAGTGATCTCTGATCCACCACTGCGAGCTCAAAATACTCCTTCCAAGCCCGTCGCCAATCGTCCGCGCGACTCTCGTCGAAGAAAAATCCCCGTAGGACCCCCTCGATCTGATCGATGGATCGATAAGAGAATCCACCACTCCGTGGGGATGGCGGGACCAACATCACCATCCCAAGCACCTCCATCTTAACAAGCCAGGGCAAACGCGATGTCCTTGGCGGTGTTGCAATGACTGTAATAATCCAGATCCCCAGTTCCTGGAACCAGGGCTCATCGAAGAGAAATGAGAGTGATCGCAGAAGGCGCGCGCGCTGCTCGGCCTGTCGGAAGATGACAGCGCACGGATGGGAGCCCAGCGCGCTGATATCGTCTGCGAGCGAGACCAAAGCGATGCTAATGCACTGTTCAAGGCTGTCACTGGGGGTGAAGGTCAAACAGCGCCAGGTCTCGCGGGTGGTGACGTCTGTGCCCATCCCGCTGTAGAACCAAAAAGAAAAGTCCGAAAGGAGGTTGACCACTGCCGGAGTCAACCTGCCTGATCGAGCGAGATCTTGGAAGCCGGGCGGTAGGAGGTCCTCCACGCTAGTGGCATCGGTGGCTGGGCCTGGGCTTAGAAGCAGGCGAGGGGGTTTATCGGACAATATTGGCGACGAATCCACTTCTTGCTGAAAGCCAAGGCTCATTCTCAGATGGAACTCTACCATGATCCTATTGACGAGCACCACCTTGCCCAGGGGGGAATGCTTTGGCAGCATACCTGGGCCGGCACTGGGCCCTGAGAGTGTGAGCTGCGACGCCCTGGTGGGAGATTCACGAGCGCGCATGATACTCTGCAGTCCTTTCAGGTGCACGGCGCGAGACTCGTGGAAGCCCAGACACTCGTCGACGGAGATCATCGTACAAAGACTGTGCAGCAGCACGTCGTCCACTCGCTGAGCGGACAGTCTCTGGCGCACGGCCTTCAGCAAGTGCTGCCGATGCCATAGGATTGCCTGATAAGCCCCCCTACTACCATCCATCTGATACATGATGCACAGGCTGAAGGCTGCCTGGCTATGAAAAACCTCCTTGTGTTCGAAGGTCCATGCGAGGAGATCCCTCGCGTAGCTGTCTGCGTCTAGTTTCCCCAGGCCCACAACTTTCGCATCATACGGGAGAAGGACATCGTACACTACAGCAGGGTTTTCCGAACGCGGCTGTGTCAGTTCGGGCTCAAAGCAAGATTTGCGATCGAAGATGAGTAGATATGGGTCGCATGAGCTTTACTCACAATGGGCGAGAGCCTGCAGCGCAAGCGGTCCGCGAGAGTTAGGGCCAGAACCCTCGACGGGGTAGAACCTCCCTGCAGCAAGCGCACGCGCCGGAAGCTGGCCAGCGCCAGGGTCCTCGGCCTCGGGCCCCTCGCATGCCGATCCCTGTCCGTCTGCCTGACGAGCAGGGGGTTCGCTCGTGGGATCACTAAAATTTAAAGTAGGGAACCAATGGAGAGCTTGAGTGAAATTGTCTGCCTTTCCGGTTGCACGACCCGTCGTAGCCGTCTTGTGGGGCCGTGAGCATTGCTTGTCGCTGGTCTTTGCGGCCGCAACTGCGGCCACGTATGTGTTTATCTTGCGGCGGTTGTGCTTGCCGTGGCTTGAGGAGGGAGGGTTGTAAGGGATAAACATAGCCAGGTGTGGGGGAAACTGTTACATAATCGATAGTGCGATGAGGTTTTGGATGCGATTGTATAGGGTTTGGTGGGACCACAGTTATACAAGACAGCTATCTTCACCTTATTGTTGCCCAGAGCCTTGGTCCACCATGACGCCGCATTCTGAATACGTGGTCGGCGCGAGAGAAAAAAGATGTGAGAATTCTTGGCTTGAAGAGATGACGCCAAACCGCATTCGGCAATCTAAGGCTTGTACCAACGTCGACTAGGACTTTGCTGTCTTCTTATAGTTACATGCCGCCTTGTGGTAGGTATCGTTAGCATATATACTAAATAATATTGTTTTATCCAGTCTCTGCAAACTCTATATTTGAGAATTAAAGAATACAGCGGATTGTAATACCTTTAATTTTAGCGACTTCAATCTCTAGCAGTCTCTATATCTGAAAAATACTATAAATATGTAACTATTTAAGTTAGAATCAGTACAGTTTCAATTCAAATATAATTATTTCTTTGGAAAATAGGTGTTTATTTTTTAAAGTCTGAATGACCTGCAGCTATTTTAACAAATATTCATCAATTATATCTCTGATTCGACTTTATACAATAACAGGTGCTATGATGCTCTAAATATCTAATTAGACCACATTTCGCCTATGGGTACACAGCTGATTGCTTGCCTTATATTCGAAGTTACAGTCGTTCTCGAAATCAGTTTAACCGATTCACACTGAGGAACTCTTTCCTAGCCCTACTGCCAAGGCATTAGTACTGATCTTCGATTGAGTCAGCCATGTTAACTAAGTTGAGGGCGCAAAAAAGACGCTTGTATTGTATATCACAGTACATTATCCCCTACTACCTACTATGAGATTACACTTTGCGTCAGTGAAGGTCTATAAAATAGAGTATATCTAGATATGTAATACTGTAGGCTAATCACTGCTTAATGTGGTAATCTTTTATCGAAATCTCTTTAAGCAACCTGTTAGAAGCAACATGGTTAAAAAGACTTCTTAATGAGCTAAGCACCTCATAAGCCAAGGGAAAACCGCCACAATCATTTGCAGTGACAACCAAGGAGCTCTCGCGCTATCGTTGAACCCGCAATACCATTCCCGCACGATAAAGATGGAAATTCAACGCAAGTGGCAAGGAGAGGTGCAAGATACTGGGACAGTAGAACTGCCAACTGCCGAGCAAATTGCGGATGGATTAACCAAGCCTCTTGCACAACAACAATTTGAATGGTTTCGAAGAGGACTTGGTATTGATTAATAACCACATCTAATTGGCCTTGAGCACACAGTGAGCTGCAAGGGTGCCCTTTCATTCTTTTCCCTCAAAAGAGGGCTTTAAAGATCGTAATGGGGCGCGCCGCAATCGTGATGCATAGTCATTTGCTCCCTTGATGACGGTTGCCATCAAGTTGGAGTGTTGAATATCACAGCGGCTAAGCTTAGGGTCAGAGATATAAAGACAGGGTACCCCTCTTCTGTAAATAAGTTGATCGAAAGGCTAAAAGCAGAGGGTGCCAACAATGGTAGAAACGGTGTAGGAGTTTAAGCAACAATATGTTTTTTTTCATAGAGAATTAGGGTGACCAAGAAGACAACCAAACAACAATACCTTCTCCACTCAATGAACGTCACGTGCTGTCCTATTATCCTCGTCCCTGCAGGCCTTTGGCAATAATTATTTCACCCTGATCAATAGCTAGACCTATTTGCAAGCCAACATTGATGATTTGTCATACCCAGGTCTTTCAGGTGGAGCCCGACTTGCCGGCAGAATCCCTAGAGGTGCCGTAGATTCTTCACATCACCAAGACATCACGAACCATAAAATAAGTTGTATATACGCCGACACCACCGTACTGCGAAATACCTTGAGTCCTACTATGGATTTCCTTGAACCCCAGTCGCGTATACACACCCCGAGCAGCATTGAAGGCGATTGTGAACACTGGAAGTTCAGCTTTCTCTGCAAATCTAATTCCGCTTTGGACTAAAGCGGTGGCGATCCCTTTGCCCTTCTGTTCAGGATCAACGGCCAAATAGTCAAGTTCTAGTAGCTGTCAATGTACATCTGGTTGAGCGGAATTGCTAGGCTTAACAGAACCCAAATGTACTGGTGTAAGAGAATTTACTTACGCAGATAGTTTTTCTCCGACAGGATCCGTTCCGCAATCGCATTGATTTCGTCGTCCATGTGACTCATTTCACTTTTCGGATACCACCAAGCTGACTCGGCCAGCACTTCAAATCGCGTTTCCTCGTCTTTTCCCACAGCTGGAACTTGCGCCTCAGGCCATTCTGGACGACCGTCCGCATCGGTTGAGGTTCCTGTAGGGAGCGCCCAGCGGGCGTATCCAATGATCTCACCGGTAAACGAGTCGACTGCCTTTTCGTGACGAAGAAGCTCACGGTTACGCAAGAGATTCCGCGGTTGGCGCATCGCAGACTGCTCGATGAGAAACTGCAGTTGAATCTCCTTCGGCCATAGTTGATTCCACGATGAGTCTTCCCAGAAGGCCGCTATGTTGTTCCGTGCTAGGGCGGCGGCGTCTGCCACAGTGCATGGCTTGATTGTCCAACTCCGCATGCTGTGATAAGCCAGTATGTGATCGCAGTGATGGTAATTGGCAAAGAGGAAAAGTGACAGCTTTGCTTTTGTAAAGTCCAAATCAGCAAGCGCCGACGGGCCGGCTAGTGCAGTGAGTGGTACCCTTTCAATTGTGGGTCAGTGACCCATAATAAGAGGGACAATCAATGGATTGCTGGATTAGCTTCCAAATCTGGAAGGTCAAGCAGCCGAATCAAAAATCTCTGGTTTCTGACTTATGACCATGCTTGGAAAATTACGGATACGGAGTAGATTCTGCACACAGATTAATGTAACTCACAAGAGCCGGACACAGAAGCAAGCCCTTCCCCCCAACCAAATCGCGTGTTCCTGCCTACCTACTCTTCCCTCACCCACCATGCGCCATGCTACACTACCAATTCGCTCGCAATTCCCACAAGATTTTATAATCACTCCAGGGCCTTCAATGGGGCCAAATTAAACCAATTCTTTCAGCTGCAAATCTATATGGCATGCTCCATACAACCCTGACCAAATGTGCAAAGGGAATAGCCTCACGGGTTGATATCTGCGAAAATTGCATAATTGACCCAGGTACAAGAGCGTTTGCTTGTTGAAAGAATGTCCTTGAAAATTTGCGTGCTGCAGCCCTATAAACCATTGGTATTAAATTGACTATCTTATGGTTGACATGTTGATCTATGATACCATAAGACAGAAAAGCCTCGGCACAGCATACTCTGCGTGGATGTCTATGAATTGGAGCCCTACTATCACGTACATTCTGAATATATTGGATGTTCTTCTATTCTTTCCAATCAACTTCCCGGGTTATGGTTTATGAAGTATCCGAATGAAAACTTTGAGCGTGAGTGCCTGTCTTGCTATTAGGAAGCAATACTTTCCTCTAACTAGTTAACGAGGTTCCCGCCCGTCCTGGTCACTCCAAAATACCATACTAAATGCAATTCTTTAGGTACTAATATATCAACAACGTAAAGATATTATCACTTGACTCTTAGTATCCTACAGTTCCATTATAATCATGTACTTACATATAACTCAAATATTTCAAAAATAATTATTTACCTATGTTACCAAAAATACGCTCCGATCAATCCTTTTGAACATCTATCTCTATCTTATCATATCCAAAGATATTTAACAAACTAATAATTATATATAGTATAGTCTATTCAATACTAAGATGCTTTAAGACTGTATAATCAGCCTTGAGTATGGGAAAACGACAACTAGCTATGGTGTCAGACAACAGCCAATGTTCACTCTTGACATCTAGACCTGCCCATTCAACGCAGCAAAGGATTGTTCCACATCCAGCAGACCAGTCACACCAAGGTCATCCTTGTTCAAGACATTCTCACTGCCAGCCCATGGATTCTTTTCCATAGATCGGTGGAAGTCCAGCATCTTTGCGATCATATCGTTGCCCATCTGAGTCCACAATTCTGTGAATGTTGGCTTGCCAACCTCCACGTAATGGGCAGTCTTGCCTTTGACCTTCGCCCACGATTTCAACATCTGCTCCGGGGTTGTCTCCTCCGTGAAAGCAGAAACATATTTGCCATGAACTGTCTTCTCAGGCTGTTCCAATATCGCCTTGACGAAGCGTCCAATGTTCCTCCTGGCAAAACCAAGGCACAAAAGACGGGTGTCACCAGGAGTGCAGAGAAGCTGCACATATTGGGCAGCTCCCGGAATTTCGAAAGGCGCAAACGTGGGGTACGAGAAGTTCTCCAAGTAGAATCCCAAAATAAAGAACGTGGTCTTCTTCAAGAGTGAGGGGTCTGATCTAATGAACTCCTCGACTTTGTTCTTCCCTTCGAATTGAGGGACCGTGATTTTGCCACCAGAAACAGCCTTACTGTTCGGAAGTGTCGACCAGATGTAGTGTTCCAAGGTCTTGGTGGCAGCTGCGGCTTTGGCCAAGTTGATCCCCTGTTGAGCTTCAACATCGATAGCTTGCTCCGGGCTCCCGGTGGTGAAATACGCCTCTCCGAAATTGGTCATTGCATAGATGGCAGAAGAGCCTTCGAAGGCAGTGACAAGAGAGGAAATGTCCGTGACATCTGCAGCGATGATTTCAACACCCTTTCTAGCCAGTTCCTTCGCTGCGACACTCGCGGGGTTCCGAGTCAAGGCGCGGATTTTGTAGGTACCGTCGTCCAGAAGAGCGTCGATCACGGAGCCCCCTTGGATCCCGGTAGCGCCAACAACTGAAATGAGTTTCTTACACATGGCAATATTCGGGGATAATTGGAAGGTTTGTTTTGTCGAAGGTGTAAGTTGTGTAATGAATAGCTTGAGCCAGGCCAGGAGAGCAGATGGTAAGGAGCTGGAGTGCCATGAGAAGGCGTATTTGCACAAAGATATCTCCCATTAAGTAGTTGAAAATACAGATTTCTACAGGACGCCACCGGATTCCACATGAAATACCAATTAGTGTCGCGAATGCGGCATAACAAATCATGGATCTGTAATCCAAGCCGGGTATTCGCATTTTGACAGCCGGGCAGCCGGAAGCACGGATATGAATCATCCGGGAGTCCAGACTCCAGTAATCACAAGCAAATCACTCGAACCAACTGTGGACGATCTTCGCGGACTTGATTTAGTGGGAGGAATTCTGGCAGTCCGAGTTCCTAGCCTGATATAACCTTGCCCAGGGTCTGCCACATTGAGATCGTTAACAACATCAAGACACAACCACAGAATGTAATGTAGTTCACAGTTGAACCGATACCATTGAGCGCTCACTCCAAAACACATAGTATATATGATAAATTACAGCTTCATCTTGGAATATTTAGAATATTTAAGGCTAAGAACAAGGTCTTATCACATCATATTAATTAAAACGTTGTACTAAATATGTTTATTAGGTCAAGGAGTATTCTTTGGGATTACCTTATTAAACAACTACTAATTAGATTCATGATACTTGATAAAAAAAAACAGAATTAGTTTTATATTCTATACTCTAAACTAGCTCTGATATAGCAAGATTACACCAGTAAACTTTTCAATATCTAACCAATTTGAATTGCAAAGCTCGAAAAACTTGAATTCATTTTTCTATTAAAAAGAATAAATAATTAAAAGATTTTATGCTATATATGAAGCAGCTAGAACAGGCGCTAGGATTAGTAGAGTATAATAGCTAGGATAAATAAAACACATTGATTAGATAGAATAGATAAAGCAAATCGGCCAGATCTGTACTGTGACATCTAATTTATATTAATATTTAAATATCAAGATAAAAAGTCTTACAATATTTTGTTATTTGTTGTAATTAAATAAATTTTATTGTCCTTGGATAAATGTAGCTGACATATACACTCCACACTAGATACAGAGATTTACAATCTTATCATCTTGTCACGGAGCACCTTCGGCTACGCATTCCAAAGGATAACCGTTGCACCATTGGCAAAAGGACTGGGATGTAAAGCCGATGGCTTTACACTGCGTACGCTATATAAGGTTGCATCGATACAGGATTCAGGCAGGTCGGGTTCTCTCGGTGGTTCTTCTAGTAGGTCTTCGGGGCCAACGGAAGCCTCTGTGCTCACACCGTGACACATATCTACACAGCAGCTGAAGCAGCAAGCTGAAGCTATTCCGGGCACCCCTACAGCTCAACACTCACAAGCCCATCAGTCCCCTCCTTCGACTGGACCAGTCCAACCGTACACGACCCGCTCGGAATATCCAGAATGAAATCCCCACTCCGCTCATGCTGCCCCCGAATGCCCACGTGGAACAACTGCCCCGCATCCCCGGACTTCAGCATGCACTTGTACTTCTCATCCGCCTGTCGCAGGAGGTAGTGCGCCCCGCCATCGGCCGTGTACCTTGCTCGCACCGCCCAGAAATCCGTATCCGTGTTTCCGAACCCCGTGGTGAAGTACACCGGCACCACCGGCGAGAAACCCTGGGGAGGGATTGACATCGTCCACGCGCTCCGCCTCTCGCCCGTCCCTTCGTGCGTATGCGCGAGTTGAGACCATTCGAACGTCTGGTCGAATTCGTTTTTAATCTTTTCCATCATCAGTCAACGGAGTCTACTACACCAAGCACACGGAAAGGGGAGTCGAGCAGAGCAAGGGGGCATGCCTACCCGTGTGAATGCGTAGGTATTGAACTCGTCCTCGTCGTCGTTGTTGCTGATCTGCGTGTTCATGCCGTCCTATTCCTCTTCCGTCAAACATGATGCCTCGGGGAGAACTGCTGGGACATGCATACACTGTTCATCGGCATGTGGAAGGTGGATCCCTCGATGGTCCACGTGTACACCTGCCCACTGTCGGACTCCTGCAGGTTGCAGGTGCTGTCCCGGTCGATGTAGAAAGTCTCGCCGTCTTCGAAGGTGATGTCCAGGTTCCACGTGTCGCTACCAGTGAAAATGCCTGGTACCGTCAGCACCTGGCTCTGAGCCCGGAAATGATTGTGGCTCTCTACCACATGAACATACCCGTCGCATATTTGATCCAGACTGCTGGGAGGGTCTGCCCGCTCGGCACGTTATCCCAGGCCTGGACGTTCAGCTCCTGCTTGCTGATGTGCGCAAATCGGATGTGCTTTAGGGGTACTGGGAGCGAGTTTTTGATCGCGATTTGGGTGTAGTACGTCGTGCTTGTTATGTTGGCGTTATCGGATGATTCTGAGCGTGGGGTGGAGAGGGAGGTCGCTAATGGAGACGATTTGCCGTAGTAAGCAGGGATTTGCAGTCGCAAAAGTGGTGGGATTGGGCATACCAGTCGCAGTAATGAGGAAAAGAGGTAAAAGAAGCATCATCCTCGACATGAAAGCCAAGTTCATGAAGAAGTTAAGATTGTTATCCATACTGCCGTACTATATCGGTAAGAGGTGGCTATGTTTGCTGAGCATGTACCGCAGGATGCTTTCGAGACGTTGGGTGGCACTTGCCTGGAACTACCTACTTTATAACTCCTTTCAGCTCATACAGGTTATGTTATGCGATGTTCATCGGGTGAACAAGTCTTGCTCTTTTGTGAGTGGGAGCAAATCCTCTCGGCTCGGATTGCCGCCTTTTCTGCGCCTCCAGGGCTCTATCACCCCAGCTGAACATTCAGCTCGCCATGGCGGGCGCTTACGATGCGAGTGCCATTGGTTAATTGCTATTGGTATTCTTCAGTGTAGATTCAGCCTCGGACTTACCGGTACCCAGTTATAGATGGGCCTGTTCGATTCAAGATACTAGATTTCTGCACATGGTCTCCCATCCGCGGCTGTGCCGGGTCATCTGCAAATTCAACTGCTGGACTGGAAGGCACCATTTCAAAGGCCGGCTACGTAAATGGCAGGGAAGAGGAAGTTCGATCGGTGTAGGCGAGCGATGCTAGTGGAAGCGCTGATCATATGTAGTCACGCTTCATGTCATACTGCATCCTCATCTTGCCTGAATTTCGGTGACTGGATAGCCTGTCATGAGCGAAACATTGACCAAAACTCTGTACAGTAATGGAATATGCGGAAAGCCCCATTTCCTACTAGGATGGATTGTAGGAGGTTCTTTGGTGATCTGGAATCCCCTCCTCGTGTGGCCCGCCAATTTAACAACTTTACCCAGTATTCCCCTGCCAACTCAAATCACAATAGAAGATTTCTCTTTCGGACTATTGGCTACTGATGACGCCTCCGAGAGGTGGGAGATGGATAGTTTCTGACTACGTCAGGCTAACTGCGAGAACTAGCTAAGGCCACCGAGGTCGGGCCCCAGGCCGCCGTCAGCTATGTCACTATAGCAAGTAGATGGTTTTTGCTTTTTTTCCCCTCTAGACGAAAACATAAAACTAAAATCTCGTCAAGGTGTGGGCTGGCTTGAGGAGTAAATTTGGCAGTTCAGGCTTGTAGGGTTCTGGATATATTCTTTTTGTTAATTCTCGACTAGCGACTGGAATCAGGCTATCCTCAGGTCTGTAGACAAGACGTCGCTCGAAGAGCTACGACGGGTCTAGAAGCAGACAGGAACTTAGGTAGTGCATATATACTATGTACAGGGCGGATATTGCAGGCAGTAGAGTCAGTCAAGCTGGACCTAAATTAAAGAGACAGCACCTTATCATCAGTAAAGTGTAGCCTGGTCGCGATTGCCCCCGGCATCCAAATAATTAATCGTAACACTGGTACCCCCTATCGCCGCCAACGTCAGTCTATATCCAGCAATCGCACAATTATAGGGAGAACTTACTTAGACCCCTCCCAGCCCACACACTTCCAACAATCGAAGAAGTGCGTCGGATCATACCGCTCTTTCACCCCGAGCAGAGCCGGATAATTCTCCCCGAAGAACGTCTCCTCCCATTCCGGTTCCAGATACGACCCCTCGTTCACGTAGCAACCGCCCCGCGGGGTCAGCTCCTTCAGCGGCTGCACGGTCTCCAGCCACCCTTCCTGCAGCGCGGTCTGGTTCGCCGTGGAGCGCACGTCAAACCAGCCCCCGGTCATCAGCAGATGCCACAGCGCCGAGCGCCACGCGGGGTGCACGCTGGTCGTATTCCCGTTTTGCACGTTGACGGGCGTGGTCATGATGACCTGCGTCAGGGCGTACTCCTCGGAGATTAGGGCATTACTCCGACGGACCCCTTCCAGCACCGCCGTCACCAGATCCGTGACACTTCCCGGCGACGCAAAGAGATCGCGCGGAATCAGCCGGCTGGCGACGGCTTCGTAGATCCCGCCCGGCGTGAGCTGCGTCGCGATCGCCTCGGTCAGCGTCAGGAAATCGGTGTACCTCGCGTACGTCGTGTAGTTGCTCTCGGAGACCTGGATCAGCTCGGGATGGGCCCGCACGGCGGCCACGAAATCCCGCGTCAGCGCCGGCAGTGCCGTTTGATTGTTTGACGGCAACACCAGGTACAGCTCGACCTGGCTGGGCCAGTAGTAGGCATGGCCCGAGACGTTCTGGGCGGACCAGAGGGGCTGCGCGGTGGCGTGCTGCGTGAGCAGCCACTCCAGTCCGCGGTACTTCGATGCGTCCCCCGCCGTCGTCGTGTTTGTGATGAAGCTGGCCTTCAGGGAGTAGACGTTGATCTGGACGGCGGGGTAGAGCTGGAATTTGTAGCTCGTCAGAACGGCGAACGTGCCGCCGCCGCCGCCGCGCATCGCCCAGAAGAGATCCGGGTCGGAGCAGGCGTTGATCGTGCGGAGCTGGCCGTCGGCCGTGACGACCTCGAACTCGACGGCGTTGTCGACCAGCAGCCCGCGCGAGGGCCCAAACACCCCGTGGCCGCCGCCTTGCCCGAACCCGCCCGCCAACCCCACCGAGCCCTCATTCCCGCCCGTCACGTCCATCCCGAACCCCTGGAAGTACGCGTACACGTCCGACGCCTGCGCGCCCGCCCCGATCTGCCCGATGTGCTCGTGCTGGTGAGAACAGTTCGAGGCGGTGAAGTTGGCGTGGTAGGTCATGTTCTTCAGGTGGTGCGTCCAGATGGCCAGCGTGTCCGGGCGCGTCGACCGCCCGAAGTAGTCGTGGCCGGTGTTCTTGATGCTGATCCGGAGGCGATGCTGGCGTGCGAATCGCACCGCCGTGGCTACTTGCTGCGCTGAGTGGGCGTCGACGTACAGCGCCGACAGGCGGCCCAGTCGGCACTCGTCCGACTGCACGTTCCACCCGTCGAGCGGGTTCAGCGCGCAGCTTTGGAGCCCGCACGTCTCCCAGTTGAGGCCTGTCGCCGCCCCGTAGACCTCGGTGCGGGGCTGGTTGAGTAGGTAGGTCTTCTGGGCCAGGGCACAGGAGGCTGCGTCGTAGGAGAGCGAACTGTAGTAGCAGCTGGCGGCGAAGGGGACGGTGCGGTGGAGATTCCCCGACAGGCTTTTGTTGAACTGCGCCCATTCCTCGTTGGACGGCCAGCAGGACTGTCCCGCGTGACAGTTGTACTCGACGGACGAGCTGGTGTTGCGGAAGGTTGTTGTCGCGGCTGCGTTGGGGAGGAGGTCCAGCGCCCAGAGGGCGGACGCGGCCTGGATTACTGAAAGAATCGGTACGTGGACCATGCTGTAGGGAGAGGAAGGCCGGGTTGTGTGCAGGGCCCTAGGGTAGGAGGAGGATTGTTTTCGTCTCTGGGTGTTGGGTGCTTACTTTAGGGGAATATTTATACCCCGGTAGGCTTTACGGTTTTGTCAGACACGAAATGATGGAAGAAGGCATGTCAGTCAGTAGCCGAGCTGGGATCGACAAAAGCCCTCAGCTCAGCCTCGTCTATTGTGGATATCGCAGTATGCACTCCAGTGCTGTGCTGGTTGTAACAGTTAGCTCATAACAAGCCTGTGTCGATCAACACAGCCTGATTGGTTGAACATCTGGATTTCCTGTTTTGGTCTAGCGGGAGGAACACCCGCGGGATGAACGCATCCACCACGCCTGTTCCATTACAGTTAACCCATGGGGCTCGTGGAGCAACAGCGGGCGCAGCCTCTCAGCTTGGGTCCACAAATCGGTCATCTTGTTAAATACGGCTTTACCGGGCACGTCAAGAGCACCCCCAACAATCACATCGTCAATTTCACCCGCGGTGTGGACGCTCACAGTGTGAACGGCACGGCTGGAATACACCATAATGGCCAAGAGTGTAGGGTTGATGTGGGGGCGGGCGGAGATTAATTAGTTGGTGGAATAGGCGGATTTGTCAATTCGAGGCCGTAAAGTGTCTTACTCTACAAACACTCGGGAAATTCTCAGAAAGACTCTGCTATTTTCTTCCCATCTTCGCACAAGACAAGTGCCTCGATAAGTCGCTCACATCGGGCCCGAGTAGGGGGTTGTTCCAATTTATGTATACTATCCCGCGTAACTCCGAGCATCCGGGGAAAGCAGGGGAGTAACGCCACGCAGATTAGAACCTGCAACATCAGGAAGAGCGTGCATGTCCGTGCATGGTTATCTTGGTATCTGCTCTAGCGCCAAGACCTACCTTTTATCTTATCAAGATGGCATTCTTTAAAGCATCCATTGAGACAATAACTGCTCCATAAAGGGGTAGTAATAGATAGCATATAACTTATTTTTTGTTTCTTCTTCATTGAGCAAAGGCTCTTATACTATATCATTGTACTTGACATTTCAGGAAACCTTGCAGAAGCAGTATAGCTGGCTATCTGGCATCTAAGAGATAAATAGGAGAATGCCGCTAAAGAAACTGTAGAGTACAAGCACAGTTGAGTCCTGAGCTCTAGGCAAGAGTAAAGTGGAAGTGTACTGCTCTATCTAGATATTCATTGTTATATGCGTAGAGAAGCAGGGAAAATGCAGAACAGAGGCATAAATGTTGCAGTAGCGTCCCTTGATCTAGCTCCTGAAAGGAAGCACTTATGCATCGGTCGGGCAATTATGCCAATGAGGCCCTGTCATCTTGAAGACATACACCATCTACTGGACTAAGCTTATCATATGAGGGCTAAGATTGAGTTGAGGTTAGTCTTGTAGGTCTATATCTTAGGGCCTGTTCATCTTGACTAGTGGCTGTTGGGCGAATCAATTCTTGCCCATTCAAGCTCTGCTTGCCCCTATTCCAACCCACGACTCATTTCACATTTGTGTAAAGCAATCTAACAAGGGTAGTTAGGGATTACTCAGATAAGGTGAAGTAGAGAACCAGCCACGTTCCGCACCACAGTATACTAACACCATACAAGACTCACACGTTTAAGTGTAAGTTGGAATCTAATCCACACACAGAGTTTAAATAAATAGGTTCGAATAGTACACCAAAGCACAGGAGGCATTCTAGGTAAGGTATCATATTTCACAAAGCTGCCGCCACAAGAACAGCCGCCGCAGCACCTCCAAAGAGCAGAGTCGAATCATGGGTAATGAATGCCGCAGCTCCGGTACTACTCTGGGTCGTGCTATTATGAGTGGTAGTGGAGGCGACAGTGGCAGTAGCCGATTCTCCGCTGATTGCCGTGTCCGTGCCGGTAGCGGAAGCATCGGGGATGGTAGGGGTAGCCGTTCCAGTGGCCAGTACCGTTGCAGGGGAGATGGCATCTCCAGCACCGGTCAGCGTGCCCGCAGTGATGGTCACGGGCACAAAGCAGCAGAGGTCATCAGTGCCCATGGTCGTGGTATAGGTCCCAGTGAAGTCTGCTCCCGTGCCCGAAATCATCTCGGTGCAGACCCCGTAAGTAATCCCTTGCACCGAACAAGCCATAGACATATAGCTGAGCGGGGTGGGTTAGCAAATGATCCTCGCAAGTCTGACAGGCAGGACGAAGGCCACGTACACATCATCTTCTGGCTCCCCCAGGAAATAGTTGGTGGTTTGAGGGCCGGCAACAATCGTCATACCGGGTCCCATGCCGCAGTCATCATCATCGTCATCATCATCATCATCATCATCATCATCATCATCATCATCATCATCATCATTATTATTATCAATACCAGTTGCGGTCGGACAGTTGACAAAGTAGGTAGTAGCAGTTGCAGCCTACCCTATCCGTCAGTTTGCGAAACATGAATTCCGTGCACCGCGACGGGGGGTCAGCACTTACCACGCCCATTACTGAGCCTGCCAATGACTCGGCGTCGGTATCCGGGATGAATAGGGTAGTGACAATGTTCTCGGCCGAGATAAGGGTGGCGGCAGCCAGACCCAGAACCAATTTACCGTGCATCATAACGGCAGAACAAAAGAACTATCTGGTGTAGCGATGAAGGAGAATGATGTGCAAGAAGCAACAAAAGTTTTTCAACAGAAATAAAGGAGGGGGGAGCTATCAGCCTCGAACAAACTATCAGGTACCGGAAGCTGAAGCCTTGCCAAGAGAGGCTAGTCTGGCCGAACCCCTGCTTGGCTGATCTCCTTTGGGGTTTAGATCTTGGGTCACTAGATCTAATCAAGCCATGGTCAATCTACATGGAGACTAGTTGCAGCTTAGCCCAATTTCATCCCCGATATGAGCCAATAGTTCAGGCCCAGCCGATGTGCGGGCGAGATGCCCGGAGGGTGAACTTCAGAGGCACCTCATTCTGGGTGTACTTCTGGAGAGGGAGATCAAGCGGTGAAGACTGGCGGAGGGGACAAAGTTCTCTCAAATAATACTTCTCATTAATCTCCATCAGATGTACGATAGGTGTGTTAGAAAAAGCAAGCTCTTGCTGGTTACTGTATTGTGGGCTTGGAAGAAGAAAAGTACCGCCACCGCGCTTAACTGACTTTTGCGTAAGTGGACAGAAAGTCCAAATGCAACCATCCAGCAGAAACACAACTACACGTTATCAGGAATACAGAAAAGACAAGCTAAGTACCTTTCTCGAATGCCTGGATGACTTCCCATTAATTCGACATTTGCGCACATTCCAGAGCTGTGCGCCCCTTTGTATCTTTGATACCCAAGTTGGCTCCTTCGCTGACTAGATAGCAAACTACATCCGCTCTGCCGAGTTCGGCTGCTTTGTGTACTGCCGTTCCAAGAGCCATAAAGCAAAAGAGCGCCCGAGAAGGATAATGGTCCTTGTACATGGTGGAATCGATATCCGCTCCATGTGCGATAAGAAGTCTTAAGATCGCAATGCTATCTGAGCGCCGTTCGATGACGTGATGGAGGAGTCGGCCTTTTCGAGCATCTCCGCCACGACTGAGCATGAGCTGGATGACTGAAACTGGGGCGGTCTCGACAGCAAGGGAATGTGGTGTGAGATCAATGACACATTGTCGATTGGGATCAGCTCCATGATCAAGAAGCCAAGCTGCCATATCCTCATCTGCAGCAGCATAGCTGACGAAATGGTTTCAAGTTGTCTCCGATGACGTGGATTAGGTTATCGGAACAGCTCTTACCCTAATACGGGAGGTTCAAGCTCGCTGATGGGCTGATTGATATCCCATCCACTCTGAAGAAAAATCTCCAGAGCATCCTTCCCCTTCACTTTGACGGCTTCCAATGCATAGAGTGGATTCATGGGCAAGCCGCAATCAAAAAGCTCTGTGATGAACTGTACACCGCCTAGCTTGATGGCTTCTATTAATAACTTGTAGCGGCACATTCACTTGCTCAATGTGTGGTTGACTTTGATACATTGCTCAAGCGGGTCCTACCCTTGATGCTGCTCCATGCTAATCTTCCTTATACCTACATCAGTCCTTACCAGCGAGCACCAAATCTAGATCATTGAAGGAAACTACCCAAGGGCCTCTTGTTGGAGGCATTTGTCACTCACGTGATACCTAGGCCGTGGGCCCTGGCAGCGTGATCCATATCCTACTCTGTACCCATTCCATATTTGTAGTGAACCGACTCCACTATTCGAACGTCACACAAATTTGGAAGGGTATCTACCTAAAGAATGAAATCCATGATCGTAACTGCCGCACTCCCCCGGTTGATAATACGCCGCCGGGATGTATAAGGGGAGACTTAAGCGAGGTGTTGTCTTTTGTTTTGCGGTCACCCACCACCGCTGCTCTGAGATCGTGGCTTTAGCTTTGCTTGCTATAGTGTTGGCATAAGCACAACGACTGCGTTTACATGCGGCGAAGGTCGGGTGCATGGCTGATGCTTATACTGATAACATCTTGCGTAGTAGCCTTCAAGTATTACCTAGCGTGGTTCTACAGTATGAGAGATAAATCAACCTGATAGACTTTATGGTCCCGCTCCCCTCATCTGTTATATTTAGTGCTTGTCCGCTTGCTCATACTATCAAGTAATCATGGATGTTTTATAAGTATTTTCACCTAGATTGCGATCTGGAGAAGATGGCAAAATTCGCAGAGAATACGGCAAAGACGAGGATGCCGGTCCGCTGATCATGCAGATAAGCTTCCTCGCAGAATCACCTCCCCGGGATCGGACGCCTTGGATTTCGACCTTGCCTGGACAAATACATATGGGTAACTTGATATTCTGTCTTGTTCCGGTGATTGGCAGACGATATTCGGTCGGCGGCTTCCCCACGCCATCTGGCTAGCGCAGTAAGTTAATGTGTAAGTTCCATGGTGGGCCATACGACCATTTGGTATGATGTAGTGGGGCATGGGGTGGGGCATGGGGCTGGTACTGAAGATCTGCTTATAAAAAGTCTACAGATTTTCCAAGCAGGAAAAGAATGCTAAGAACAGCTGAATGAGTACGGCATGAGACGGGACAAAGCCTGCTCGTTCCTTGGCATATTTCATAAGCTGCAATGCAAGAAGAATCAGTTAATGTCTACAGCCGAAGTGAGTGGGTTACTTACATAGTACATAACTACCTAGTACCGTATAACTTGACTAAGTTATGCTAGATTAGTCATCATAGTATCAGCACAAAGTCACCCCTGCCATGAAGGCAGCAGTAAGAGGAAGCGGTCACGGGACGGGACGCGTCTCTCCTCCCGCGCCTTCCGCCTTCACGTTCCTTCTCCTTCGCCTCCTCCTCGTCCTCGTCATCGTCCTCGACCTCCTCTCTCTCTACCTCCTCTTCTTCTTCCACTTCAATATCATCTCCTATTCCCGTTCCCCATCCCCCAATCTCTTTCCTGTTCTCGAAGCCAGTCCTGCCAGTCGGTTTTCAGAGGTTGATCTCAGATTGCGCATGTACTGGTCGGCCTATCTTGCTGTTCTCGAAGCCAGTCCTGCCTGTGGCATGTACTCGTGACCAGACCGCATCTTGCTTTTTCCCCTTGGCCTCTCTTGCTGTTCTCGAAGCCAGTCCTGCCATTCCTGTATTTTCATAGGACTCTCTGTTGTCTCTCGTGGATCTCAGATTGGGCATGTACTCGTGACCAGACCGCATCTCTACTTCCTCGTTCCCCCTTCCTAGGTATCTGCTCTCTGTCGTCCTCGAATCCAGTCCTGCCATTCCTGTGTTCTCATAGGACTCTCTGGTTTCACTCGTTGATCTCAGATTGGGCATGTACTCGTGACCAGGCTCAGAAGCTCATACATTCTCATTCTTCCATTTCTTTCCCCCCTATTGCGAGTCAGGGCTGCTCGACGTCGCTCAAAGCCTGGGTGGGTGGGCTACTCGATTCTTCGAGGGTTATCGTTCTAATAATTCAGCGGGTCTCGCAGCAACAGAATGACAACCACCTCTACGCGAAACCGACCTTGGGTCTCGAAAGTCCTTGTTCACGCACCCGATCTTGATGTTTTTTGTGTCGCCCGCCTTCGTATCGTCCAAGGCCAAACTATTGCGCATGGAAATACTGCCAACCAAGCATCTATCTTGCTTTCGATCACGACAACTCTCGCTTACTCGGGCAGCGTCGCTAACTCGAGCAGCAGATCCCAGGTCCTGACTTTGAATATCCCTCCCGAACGAGTCGAAAAATGCGGTCTAGCTCGGAGAAGCAACAACACTCTCTGTCCAGCTCGTCTCCTTTCCTCGCTCCCGGCGCCTGTTACAAATGTTTCGGCCGTATCAACATTAAGTCTTAGCCTCGACACGGTCGGCATCGTTCTTAGTCCATCCGGCATGGACTCTCTCATACCGGCCATACCTGGAGATTTGGAATTTTACTCGTTTGCCAGAATTTGTCAATCTAAATTCCTCCGTCTACACTTCTCCGCACGACAGTTTGTCGATAACGAAATTGATAGACTACAAGATTTCGCGTATGCCCTCCGGCACAGAAGTCTTCGGGCAGTGCCTTTAAACACCGCTCGCCATGGAGTATGCCCGAAAGATTGGCGTGTCTTTGCTCTGTCGCCCGATCCACCTCCATATTGCCAGGAGTCCGTGTCCGAGCAGGTGGATCCCCCCGTATATCATGAGAAAATGCTAGGAAAACGGCGCAGAGGTATCTTCTTACTCTGCCATAGCGCCTTGTGTAATAGTTCAATAATAGTATCTAGATTCACGGTCAATATCACCCAACGCTGAACGGCGAAAAAGATCGCACCGTCTTTCCCCTCGACCGATAGGCTCTTCAACTGAAGTGGCGACTGATGTTGCGACTGAAGTTAACACGCCGAGTATTCGGGCTCCTTCCCGATCACCGTCCTCGATCCGCCTGACTCACTTTCGGCGTGCTTCCTCCCGCGGCCAAACAGAGTTCCAGAGACTCGCGCATCTCGAACACGAGCTCCGTGGTGTTTCTGATGACCTGATCCGTAGACTTTTAATTCGATCCGGCCGCGAACATCTGCTAGCCATACCGCAAGACGTCGACCGCCATCTGGCACGCGAGCTCGAGCCTGTAGGCAGCTCTCTCGAGGCCGACATGGTGATGCTTGGGCGCCGCCTCGAACGATACGTCGATAGAACAATTGAGCGTCGGCTCGCACATTACGTCGACTGTGCCGTGGCCGAGTGTCGCGATCAGCTCTACGACGTATGCACCCAGAAGGAAGCCCAATTCGAAGAAGAGATCGACAACGGTAACATCGAGGTACGCAACACAGTGAATGACTGTATGAAAGAAATGGAGGAGCAGGTGCAAGGGCACATGGTTCAGATGGAAGACCAAGCGCAACGGTGCATGAAGGATATCGAGGACCGGGCAGCCGAGATCGAGATCGAGTTCGAATCCGGTATATCTGCGAAGAGGAAACTTTCACTTGATGGGAAGCCAAGCGCACGTCATGGGTTGCGTGCCCGTATTACGCGCAATTCGGTTTAAACCAGTACCGGTGTCGTTGAGAGCTTGTACTTTTATTCTATTGAAGATAGACACCCATCCCACTTGGATCCGGAGACTAAAGCATCCCTGCGTTCTCTTTCGATCCTCCGGCAGCGTTGATCGGTCAAACAACAGTGGCTGGATTTGAGGCGCAGGGTGGAAATGGGGAGCGGCTCGGGGATCGAGTTACATGCCAGGTCCGCATCAAGCCGCGAAAACGCCTTTGCCCTATCGGGTACACCTCATTAACAGAGTCGGACTAGAGGCAGGCGATGGGAAAGCCAGGCGTGCCTGAGGCCCTGAGCAATGGCTGCTTCTTTAACCGATCCAGCAGTAAGCACTAAGTAACACTAACGCTCACACTAAAGGTGACCCTCTTAGAGATCGAGGCGCAGCAGCACAGCGAACCGTAAAGCCTCGCAACATAAGCAACACAAGCAACACAAGACATGCCAGATCTTGCCTATCTGTAAGCACGTTTCCATGATTCCTCACTGGAGCCTCCATTTCAGCCGCTCTGATCCCGGTTTTGCAATTTGGTCAGTACAGTAGTAGTGACGTGGCCTCGGACTAATTGCTGCGACCTGCGACGGTTTAATGAAAACAGACCAGTAAGATGGCGGCGAATTACTGTCTAAATGTGTGGATCTACTCCGTATGATTCCTGCCGTCAAAGACTCTAATGTGAATGCTGGTCTACTGTCAGACCACAGAGGGCCATGTGACCGTGCACCACAATTGGGGATATAGCTTCTTCACGCCTTCTCCTCCATCAGCTGTTGATATTCCTTTGTTCCCTTGATTCTACCAATACGTCCTCAGTCACCCGTAAAAGATACTGGTCCTCATTGTGATTTCGTACCCCACAATTGTTTACCTCATGCATTCAACAACCTTCGCCGCGCTTATAGGATTTTTCCTTCTGATTAGCGTGTTCTTGGTCACACGCCGGCCGAAAGCATCTTCCTCTTCCTTACCCTTACCACCAGGACCCAAGCCACTGCCTTTGATAGGCAATGTTTATCAAGCTCCCAAGTCCCATGGATGGAGGACCTATCGCGAATGGAATGAGCAATACGGACCAATCGTTCACCTCAATATGCTTGGACAACCGGTCATCATTATGTCGACCTCGGAAGTAGCCCACGACCTGCTCGCCAAGCGTGGAGCGATCTTTTCCGACCGACCTCGACTGTTCCTCGCGACGGAGTTAGCATTGAAGGGGCTCAACATCCTCATGATGAACTACACCGATCAATTCCGGCATCATCAGCGGCTCCAGGTGTCCGTGCTGAACGCGACTCCAGCCGCAGCATATCTCCCCATCCAAGCCCTAGAGTCCCAACAGTTGCTGTACGATCTCTTGCAAACAAGCGGAAGCGCGGGGATTGATGTCCAAAGACCATTCCAGCGGACCACGGCCAGCATCATCCACACCTTATTGTACGGCTTCCGGATCCAAGACCCCAACGATTCCGTCCTCCGCAGCGTGGTCCACCTCAACGAGGAGTTCTCCGAGTTCATCCAGGTGGGCGCGCATATCGTCGACCAGTTCCCGGTGCTGAACCACCTGCCGGGCTTTCTGGCGCCGTGGAAGGCGAAAGCGGAGAACCACTATACCACCAAGTATAGCCTGCGTCTCAGCAACTTCCGCCGGGCGCTGGAGGATTCGGACGCCTGGAACATCTCCAAGCAGCTGAGGCAGACGGTTGAAAAGGATGACAATCGCGACATGCCCCTGGACGAGCTCGCTTTCGAGCTGGGGACGATGATCGACGCCGCGCTCGACGGCACGACCGACAGCCTGGTCTGGTTCGTGGTCGCATGTATTACCCAAAATCAAGGCTTTATTACCAAGGCCCGCGCCGAGCTCGACGCCGTGGTCGGCCGGGACCGGCTGCCGCTGCCCGACGATAAGCCCCACCTGCTGTACATCACCGCGATCGTCGAGGAAGTCCTCCGGTGGCGGCCCGCCGGCCCGGAGGGCGCACCGCACCTCAACCGCGAGGAGACGACCTACAACGGCTACCGCATCCCCAAGGGCTCGGTGGTCGTGGCCAACATCTGGACGATCGCCCGCGAAGAGACCGTGTTCGGCCCCAACACGGACGCTTTCATCCCGGAACGCTGGCTGGACGACAACGGGGACTTACGGTCTTCCCTTCCGGCGCCAGCGTTCGGGTATGGACGACGGACCTGCCCCGGACGGTACTTCGCGCGCAATGTCCTCTGGATCATTGTGGCGCGGTTGCTCTGGTCGTTCGATATCAAAGCCGGTGTGTCTGAGGAGACGGGCGAGCCGGTCCCCGTGGACCCGGAAGCATGCACCTACGGTCTGGTCATGCGCGCCCTGCCCTTCAAGGCGCGATTTGTCCCGCGCGGGTCGTGGGTGCGTGAGGTGATCGCTCGAGGGGGGGATACTTATGCCACGGATCACTCGGCGCTGCTGCGGCAGATTGGGGCTGAGTTTGGGAAGCTGTAATTGGAAGGCCAGCCACTTGATACTGTGTACTAAAAGGTTGCCGTGGACACATAGACAATGACAATGATTAATGAGTTGGCGACGCGTCGTGGTCGATTCCAGGTGTTTGGCGAGTTGGAAGAAGCCACCCCGCATCGAGTTGGGTTGTACTGTACACAATCTATCTCCGCGTGGCATGGCACTCTTACCGCATGGTTGAGGTGGCCCGGTCAGAAATTGGCTGGCTAGCTTTGCGCGAGTTGAGTTGAAATACCGACTATATTCCATGTCAACGGGGAGGTAGGCAGACGGCGATTGTGTGGATGGGGTGATCCGGGTGTCGGGTGCCCGTGGCGGAGACCGGGGAAGGAACACGGGGGAGTGATATGGAGCGGTGACAAGTGCGCTTCTCTCGGAGTTTGAAAGATCGCGCTTGGTTAAATCATAGGTCTGGGTAAGCAACCTTTTTTCAGCACGCAAACCCGAAAGGCAGGAAACCGGGGCGGGGGTGGGAGCAACTGGAAGTTGATCTGTAGGAGTCAGCCATGAGGGACTCGACTCTGGAGGTCATGTCTACCTGGCATAGTTTGCGCACTATCTTCCGCTGACATCGTTGATTTCACACATTTGCCCAGAAGTCTAGAATTGACGATCATTTCTCTCTCCTCCCGTCTTGTTCTCGGAGCCCTCGGGGCTCTCGGATCAATCCCCTCATGGCAAAGATACATACACTAAATGGAATGGATCTCGAACACCCAGAGTTAGCATTCTGACTTTCTTCTCTATACCACTGTCCACCTTGTTCGCCATAGCTATAGCTCAGTGCCACGTCAGCAGATGGCAAGTGATCGGCATAGTTTTTGGCCCAAGTTTGAGAGATCCGAGGGCCCGAAATGATCACTCTCCAGTCGCTGGCAGCATGAGGGAGGAACGTGGGATGCTGGATCTCGGGTCCGCCTAGAACACTTCAGTCGGACCTGACGAAACCAAACTCAAGGGGAAATACAAGCCAAAACATCTTCATCCCTGGGTCTGCGGCAAACAACAAGTCAGAGATTGATTGTTGTGCTTCCAGTCATGGCATCATCCACACAGCACAGGATTCTGAGAACAATACAGCCTTCGACGCGGCTATTGCCATCGGGGCCTTGATCAAAGGGGAGACCAGGCATTTCGAGTACATCTCCGCGGCGGTCTCTGGGGGGCTTATGCGCGTTCAGCTGGACGCCCATGTTCCCGTGATTTTCGGGCTCCTGACCCTCTTGACTGAACATCAGGGGCTTGAGCGAGCCGGGCTGGCGGGAGAGCGGGGTCTTAATCATGGAGAGGACTGGGGACGGGCGGCGGTGGAGTTGGGGGTGAAAAGTCGCGAGGACTGGGTGGCGGGGGGTTGCAGGTCGGTGATCGGTTAGTATGAGCATTATCTTCACATTTTACTTAGACATTTGTGGTCGAATGCACAACGATCTCTTCTAGTAGAGAACATCAATCATGATGTATTTACATGTAAATGTTTCCGGAATATGTTTTACTCTCTTTCCATTTTGCATTTTTTTTTGGATTTCTTTGCTCATGCTTCTATTGTTTCCTTGTTACCCCCGGTTTGTTTCTCTCTCCATCCCTGTTCTTCTGTCCTGGTGGGCACAGTACATCTGTCGAAATCCAAACAACTCCCAGACAAGTTCAAGGCATGTTGATCACGACAGATCGAGATGCAGATCATAAGTGGAACTGCCAGGGTGCCCCAGTGTTATCTACATACTTTGTGCATATCCCGAGCCTCCGAGGCTACCGAAACCCCCGAAACTCACACGTCGGCGGAGCTGCACCATCCAGAATAAGCAACTCGTGATATCACCATGGATGAAAGGCGCACTCGCCTAGTGATCAATAGTAAGCGCAGGATCAGGAGGAAATAGGAGGGGGCAAATATTGAACAAGCCCGCTTGCCCTCACGAAAAGACCATGAGGCAACCGACGCTCCAACCATCCGTATGCAAATCCCTCGCCGCTTGTAGGCTTGGGAATCATATAAGAGCCACCTTCCCATTTTTATTCAAGCCCTCGCTCATAACTACCAAGCTTGAATGAAATATACCTGTTCTCCCCGATTGTATATTGCTTACCAGAAGATCGACTGCAAAGATGCCTCACCACCACCACCACCACCACCAAGACCCCTCCGTCCAAGACCTCCCCCACATGAATTTCCGTTCCTATGTGGAAGCCTTGAAGCAGGACAACGACCTGGTGGAGATTGACCGCGAGATCGATCCGGACCTCGAAGCGGGAGCCATTATTCGCAAGGTGTGCGAGACGGACGACAAGGCCCCGCTGTTCAACAACCTCAAGGGCGCCGACAAGGGTCTCTTCCGGATCCTGGGCGCGCCCAACTCCCTGCGCGCCGACCCCAAGACCCGCTATGGTCGGCTAGCGCGCCACTTGGCTCTGCCGCCCACTGCGGGGATGAAAGACATCCTGGACAAGATGATGTCCGCAGCCCACCAGAAGCCGATCCCGCCCCGGGTGGTCCCCACGGGCGCCTGCAAGGAGAATGTCCTGAATGACGGGGAGTTCGACCTGACGAAACTCCCTGTGCCCCTGCTGCACCAGGCCGACGGGGGCAGATACATCCAGACCTACGGCATGCATGTTATATCCTCGCCCGAGGGCGATTGGACCAATTGGTCGATTGCGCGCGCGATGGTCTACGATAAGAACCATCTCACAGGGTTGGTGATCCCACCTCAACATATCTGGCAGATGCAGCAGAAGTGGAAGGCCATCGGAAAGGATGTCCCCTGGTCGCTGTGCTTCGGGGTTCCGCCAGCGGCCATCATGGCGGCCAGCATGCCCATCCCGGACGGGGTGACCGAGGCCGGCTATATCGGCGCGTTCACGGGCCATGCCATTGATGTGGTCAAGTGCGACACCAATGATCTCTTGGTGCCCGCCAACACCGAGATCGTCCTGGAGGGAACCATGAGCATCTCCGAGACGGTGCCCGAGGGGCCCTTCGGTGAGATGCACGGGTATGTTTGGGCACCCGTCTTTCCTTTCGCATCGCTACTAGACTGACCAATGATCCTCAGCTATGTTTTCCCCGGCGATGCGCACCCTTGCCCCCTATACAAGGTCAACAAGATCACCTACCGCACCGGTGCGATCCTCCCCGTTTCCAACTGCGGTCGTCTGACCGACGAAACGGTATGTTCACTTCCTCGCCGGCGGCTTATTCTAATTCCCGCTCCCTCCCAAATATCCTCACAGGATATCTAACCCCAAACCAGCACACAATGATCGGCCCCCTCGCAGCGGCTCAGATCCACCAACTCTGCAAAGACGCCGGCCTCCCCGTCAAGGAGGCGATGTCTCCCTTCGAATCCCAAGTAACCTGGGTGGTCCTGCAGATCGACACCGCGGCGCTCCGCCGTCTGAAGACCACCTCGGCCGCGTTCAGCAAGCAAATCGGCGACCTGGTCTTCAATCATAAGGCCGGCTACACGATCCACCGGCTCGTCCTCGTGGGCGACGACATCGACGTCTACAACTGGAAGGACGTGATCTGGGCCTTCTGCACCCGGTGCCGCCCCCAGCTGGACGAGTACTTCTATGAAGACGTGCGCGGCTTCCCCCTCATCCCGTCCATGTCGCACGGGAACGGCTCCCCGACCCAGGGCGGGAAGGTGGTCTCGGATGCGCTGATGCCCTCGGAGTATGCCGAGGGGCCGGACTGGCAGGCGGCTGACTTCCGGCACTCGTATCCGCGGGAGATTCGGGAGAGGGTGGAGGCTAGCTGGACGGCGATGGGGTTCCGGGGCGAGGATTGAGTGGGGAGGCCGGGGAGTTGCGGGTGCGGATATGAAGTATGGTAGAGCCCGCGCAGGCCCTTGGTGTGGTCTCCTCTCACTTTCTTTTCTGGTGGCCTTTCTACTGTGTACATGACAGGCTCAATCAAATTCTCATCGCCTGGATGCATGGCTTAACTACCCCTTCTATGATATTTTAGGGTTGTATGGGTAGTTCTTCCTTGCAATCTTACGTGTAGGCCTTGGAGGAGTTCCGAGGACTTGGATTAGGGCTACCCGCAAAGACCCCTGGACTCGTGCACAAATATATTTTGCTCGAAAGTACTACAACCACCATTGCCACCCCAAACGAGCCGAGAAACAGCAAGGAGGTATTCAACCCACCCTTCTCAGTAAACACGCACGCTAGATAGTATACAGCATCTCTTGAACCACCGGAATTCTGACAGATACTCTCGCCCAAAGGGAATTTAATACAAAGGGGGTCGTCACGTGCACCAAGCACGCTACTACACATTGGCTGAGAACAGGGTACACAATTTTGAGCCTATTTTCAACACATGGGGCTGTGGTTTAGTGGTATAATATTCCCTTAGCATGGGAGAGGTCCGGGGTTCGATTCCCCGCAGCTCCAACCTTTTTGCCCTCGAAGATTCTTGATCCGGGGTGGTAGGTTCGACGCGTGGAGATGGTGGAGATTTTTATCTGGTCGGGCTGGTATATTTACTCCTTGGGCCCTGGGATTTCCAAGCCTTGATATACTCGGTGAGGTCTGTTACAATTGCCAGTGGAGACATGATTGATAATTTCGGATCTGCCGGTTTCATCTTGTCCTCAGAGTTCATTTGCTGATGAACCTTAGATTATATCTAGATAGAATGCGGTACAAGAGAGACGAGGGGCGGTGGATTGATGACAGCGGCGAAAATGACAATCGCATTGCACCGAGCTGAGTAGTAGCTGTAAAGTTGTGTTGAAAAAGGTTTACACGGCGCGGAGATAGGAGCCCTGGCGACTGCAGCGGTCTCCTCTATACCGTCACTGCAAGAGGGTACCGGGGCGGGAGCTCTCTGTCAGTGCTCCCCGCAGTTCCCTTTATGTCTTGTTGAGTGCTGGGTTTCTCATGGGGCAGATATATGACCGTATTGCAAAAGATCACCTTATAGTCACGATAGGCGTAGGAGAGGAACGCAAAGGAAGAGGTTGGGAAACGAAGATATGAAGGCCGCGTAAGTAAGCCATGGGTTACAGAACAAAGCAGACCGTAGAGATCGTCCACAAAACTCATTTACCACAGATCGCAAGCCTTGCCACAAAGAGCAGTACAGCCTGCCCCCAACCTTCAAAAGCCGGTCTCAACCATGAGATAGGTAGACTGCCCCCCCTAAACATCCGCAATCAACCCCTTCTTCTCCCGCCTCCCCATGAAACTAAAATACCAGGTCGGCTCGCCGTGCTTGATCCGGCACCCTACATCGTACCATTCCCGGGGCAGCATATACGCCCAGTAATCCCGGTCCTGATCGCCACCCTTTTCCAGATTCTTCGTGTTATCCATGCAATCCAGACACAGCCCATCGAAGTATCTTTCCACGCGCTTCGCGGCGCCGGCCACTACGGCTTCCCAGTTGCATCCGCAATGGGTACAATCCACCGGCTTCCGGGTCCCGGGGTCCGTGTATCCGCGCATCTTGCTCGCATCGAACCTCTCCATGCGGAAGACCAGATCGTCGATGCTGCTGTGCCGCATGCACTCTTCGAAGGGCCAGACACTGATGCGCTGTAGCTCGCGGAAGAATTCGAAGACGGTGCGTTCGCAGCACGGGGAGGGGGTGGGGGACCTCAAAATCGTCGCGATCCAACTGAAGAGGTCCTTGTGCGCGATGTTGCGGAGGCGGCCGCGGACGGCGTTCATTTGCTCTGCGGGGAGTCTGGGCGTTAGATAGGTAACAGTCGTGCCTGGTTGATATCAGGAGAAGGAATGTTTATACTCACGCAGAATCCGAGGCGGCAGATGCATGTGATGGACCTTCGTGGGGTTGCGCTCGACGATATGCTCCTCGCTCCCGTAGACCAGGGACTTGGTCGCCTCAGCGAAGAGGGTCGTATGGTCGGTCGCCCAGCTCGGGAACAGGATCTGTCGATAGTACTTCAGCTCGTCGCCGTCGTAAAGCGTCTCGATCTGGGTCTCGGCGTATTCCGCCCACGATGCAAACCAGGCCAGAAAGTCCTTCGGGTTGAGGCCGTGCTTGTCGCACGCGAGCACCAGGTGCCACACGTCCGCGACGGAGACCTCCTTCACGCTCATCGCGTCTAGGGTCCCGTGTAGCTTGCGCAGTAGGACCTCCATGGCGACGATGTGGTCGTCGTGCACGGTGATCGTCGCGCGGTCGGATTCTGCCCAGCGGTGACTGGTCAGCATGTTCTGGAAGTACTGGTTTCCGTTGATGAGCGTGGCGCGGTCGACGTTCATGGTTTTGCTTTTGTGGGGCTGGGGCTCATTTTCCTGGGGCGTGGATGACTTTTCGACGATCACGATTTGAAGGTCAGATGGGCTTGTGATTGTGATCGTGTCGGGGTTCGGGGGGGACATATTGGGGGATGATTATGGACGCGCGCGACCCGCTTTTGGGGAGTGGACTTTTTTTTAAAAGAAGAAGCTGGATAAACACTCGATAGCTGCGAGGAGGTTGATCCACTGAGCCTCAGCTGGATTTAACGCACGGGCTTGATTTCCTAGCTGACGGAGAACACGCAGGAGTGACCAGGGTCAGAAGAAAGAATGCCTCTAAAGGCAGCGGATGATATAGAATGAAGGAGAGGAGAGGATAAGCAAGAGCGTGTTACATGCAAGATGAAAACGCTGTGAATCCCCACCCAGCCGCATGCTTTTTCACTGCCACCTTTCCCTTTTACGGCGTCTAACTGTCCACTTACCTGCTGTTAGCTAAGGAACAGTCTGAGTTGTTATAGCACTGGTGCTGGCGCTCAGTCCATGGCCGATATGAAATTGACGAAATGTGGTTCATATCATGTCTCAGCAGAGAATCTTGCTGCTGCTCAAAGATACTTGTTTTCTTAGTTCACATAAGTCTGTGGTATGTTGACTAGGGAGGTCAAGAAGGCTAATTGGATCAATGTTATAAGGACTTGGTGTTTGTAGTTGACTGACTTCCCTTTGCGTGGATAGTTACTTGGTGAATAACCCTGGACCACGTGGTTAGTTCACTTGAACATACCGACACAGTTGATCAAACACACAGTAAACAACAACAAGAGGTCAATGACGTTACTGTGTGCTAGGCAAGTAAAGGAGTAGATGTTAGATCACCAACAGCAAAATTCAACCAATATCTTGTGTCCACATGAACAAAGTACATGTACTATACATTACGCAGGAGCACTACTTCTATGCTAGACTAACAGGCCAAATAAGAGAAGAGAGAACTAACACATGCTACTTTGCGATAATACTGTGATGTTTTAAAGAGCCCCACCGAACTTTCTTACAAAAGAAGCTAAGAAACTGGCTCCATCCTCGCAATCTTGACGATATCACTCCGTTCCACAAGCAACACCCCAGAACCGTCATCTCCCCCATCCAAACCCCCCTCTAAGCCCCTTAGTCCAGTCCTCAAAGCAGCCTCAGCAATCACACCAGCATCCTGACCAAGCGCATTCCCCCAAGAAGGAGCTACAATCCCAATGCCCCGCACCAGCCCCTGCGCGAGCCATTCCCCAGGACGGCTCTCACCACGATCCCCTAATATAACCCCGGGACGGAGAATCACGGTCTTCTCGAACTGCAACGCTTTGAGATCGGCTTCAATCCGACCCTTCATACGTGCATACGGGACCCAGGAACGCTCACTGGCGAAGGACGAAGAGACCAGGACGCACACCCGACAGCCCGCTTGCCGGGCGGCCCGTGCGAGCTCGAGCTGCAGGCTGTGGTCGATCCGGGATTGGGCCTCGAAGCTGCCGCCGACCGCGGCGCGGGTCGTCCCGAACGCGGAGAACAAGATCGCGGGTCGTTGCCCTCCGGACGGCCGCGTGATCTGGGCAAGCCACCGGGCTGGGTCTGAAGCGACGAAGGCGTGGACTTTATCTGATGACGATGCCTCCGGAGAACGGCGGCGGGAGAAGGTGTTGATTGAGGTGATGGCTTCGCTGGAGATGAGGTTTCGGAGGATGTGAGATCCCTATCGTTTTCCCGGAGTGTTTGGTCAGTAAGTGTGCAAATCGGGCACGCCGTACATTGTACCAGGATACGACGCTAAAAGGCCAAGAAGGCGTGGTCGGGGCTTACCACCAGTCCGGTACAACCTATTAGTATTGCTGATGCCATTGCTAAGGCTTGTTCAACCCAGATTCCTCAGCAAAATGGACGACGTAACCATGAAGAGGGGCAAGGGAGAGGGGCGAAGGGAGTCACAAGACGTGCCCGGAGCCTTAGAATTAGGTTGATGAGGAAGCGCTTTGCCAATGCATGCTGACAGGCTTCTCCCTCACCCAGCCATGCACGATACAGCATATCCACTCTTCCGTTACAGTTCCGTGTCTTGGGAATCCCGGTAGAAACCCGGGGCGAGGTGTACATAGAAAACCTGGGACCTGTCGGAAGACCCTGGTTCCGTCCCCCGTTCCGGAGTGCGGGTGCATCCGACCATCCGAGCTTCCGAGTGTGCTACGGGGACGCGCAAGTTTGATTCCTAGGGGCAGCGCAACTCGACTCATTCCTCTTCTTCACTGCCCCATAGTTATTCCTTCTATTGAGATTGAGCCATAAAGATAGCCTTACTCCCGCTATACATGCTACATTGTTAGTGCAATCAGCCCCCAAATATGTTGATTCCAACAACAGATCGGAACGGATAGGCATTCCGGAGATGATGTATCATACGGCAAGTCATGGTCCATTATTGTGCAAATGTAGTGAAATACGATGGTTAGACTAGCAGGAATCTATTGACTTAGGACATTCTAATTTCCCGTCTCAAAGACTCCATCGTGGGAGCTCCAAAAGGGGGCAAGAATCTTAAAGATATCGGAGCGAAGATCGTTCCATTGCCCAGTCTCATGGAAAGTATCAACTCGGTGAAAAGAGTGCTTCTTGTCAGATTGGGAAAGAAAAAGGGTCTAGAGAACCAGGCTCAAACTGCGAATTCTGTCCATTGTCTGTAAAGGCTGGTGGAAGTTTCGTGGTACTCAAGTCTACTCAGATAAGTACCGAGCCCTATGAAAGTTACAAGATCCCTCACACGATCTATGCCAACCAAAGCCCAAGTTGTTATAGGCACCTAAGACTTTTCATCGACGAAGAAGCGAAAAAGCAAACCACCATGATCTGAACGGTAACATACTGTGGTGTAAAACCCCCTGCTCGGCACTAACTCAATTCCCACCAGAAATCGTAGGATTGAATGTACACAAGCTGGTGCGGAACGGCTTCCTCTCGCTCCTTCTCAGAGTCTGCCTTGTGCTGCAAAGCTTCGGAGAGTTGCATCGGCCAAGGCCCTGTTTCCTTCATGACCATGTCCATCAGCTCCCGGGGAAGAGTCGAGAGCGGAGTCGTGGCGGAATTCGCCAAGACCGCATTGCGCCACCAATCGTGCTGCTGCGGGGGCACATTCCGAGTCGAGCAGATGCGATAGTGGGGATCCACCAGCCGCAAGACGACGCACCGCTGATGGCCTGGGCGGCTCGGGTCGAGCAAGGAGAACGGAAGCCTCTTGTATCGCAAGGCATTGGGCCACATGAGAAAACGACCTTGAGTGACGGCGACGGACCCTAGGGTTTGCAGCGGCAGAGCGTTTGGGTCTTCGCCGGGTCCCGGACAGGGAGGGATTCCGTAGAGTTTGTAGATGCAGAAGGGGTCCGGTTGATGGCCGAATATGCGCAACCTGTCCCGTTGTTGGTAGGAGATGCGGGACTCTGTGATGTTCTCCGCGCTGTAGCAGAAGTGTGCGGTGGCGACAATATGCTCGTTGAGCATCCCGTCCACGTGGAACTCTGGATCTCCGGGGTATGCATGGGCACCATCATCACCACCACATCCCTCGGGCGTCAGATCGATGCTGAAGACTTGAACAATCACCTGCAGACCCTGTTTGCGGAACTGATTTTCGAGCGACACCGAGTAGTATTCGTGATTTCGAGGCGGGTCGAACTCGTGGTCAGATGGCCATGGCCCGAAGATCGGGTTCGCGGTCTGGCCTCTTTTCCAGTCTTCATACGTATAGGAAATCCCGGGCTCGGGGTATGAGAACCGATGCACTCGCCTGAACTTCGCCCGGATAATCTCCGCGACGCGTGCAGGGGATGCCCACATCTCCGGCGTCATCCAAGCCAGAAGATCCTCCGTCTCAGGGGGATCCCCGGGCTCGGGTTCGAAGACACGGTACTTGGGATCCACATCAGGCAAAGTCAAATACTCTCGCACCTTGGAGCAGTGACTTTCCCATTGCTCCGGAGACCAGGCGCGTCGAGTGATCTTCTGATTCCACACGACTGGGAGAATGTCCTCCGGCGGTTCTATATCTATGGGACATTCTTCTTCTCGGTCTGTGACGCCATAGGTATAGATGCGCCGAGGCATGCGCCCGCCAGCGCCTTTGACCAGGACCTCATTCCACGGTCCTATCGCGCGAGAAATAAGTTTCTCGATTGCGGAATAGGCCTGGGTATGGCTTGGGTGGAGATTGTTGATGTACGAGGTGATCCGTACTGCCGTCCCCGACGGCTCCGCAAACTCCACCTCGCAAGGCAGCCATTGGAAGCGAAAGGAAACCTGTTGTAGCTTGAGATTATCCTGAAGATAGAAGAGTTCTCGGGGTATCAGGGCCGTTATACTCCTGGTGGGATCCTGCACAGGTGCCGTGGCTAGTCTGGGATCGGTGGAAGGCGGATAGAACTGGGAGATTGAGCCGTCCGCCGCAGGCAGAGCAACCCGACCACCGTGGCTGAGAACTGTTGTCCGGCCATAGACCAACATGTAAAGCGACGGATCTACTAATTCGTGAATGCCACCACCCTTTCTTGTCGGCAAGAGCGGACGGAGTGCTTCTTGGAGATCATCCCCCAGAGCCTTGTCGTCGATTTTGCCTACGCCGGAGTCGGCATTGAGAACGATGACATATCCAGTGTCCCGGAAGCCCTTGGCCTTGTCCTGCAGTTCCGCTACGCACCAGAGCCATGCCTTCGTTGTGATCAGGTCCATGTCCACGTCCTGATCTGAGTTCGAGTCAAGGCTCGCGTAAGATGAAGATGCCTGTGCACGCCACTGGGCAAGATTTTGTTCGTTAAACACATCGTGTTCCCAGTTCGGAGTGTCTGTGATCCGTTCCATGAGTCGCAACATCTGAACCTCAGGTGCGGTGAGCCTGATGGCTCTTCTTGAGTAATTCTCGCGTGCTCCATGCGCAAAGCGTTGGTTGAAATCGAACTCATAGTCCAGGGGAATTCCGCTGAATCCTGGCACTCGAAGTGGACATGAGCCAGTGTTATCAAATTGCAAGGGTTGTTCTGTTCTGTCGCTCATATTTGATTATTTGGTAGCTGGAGATCGAGTTCTGCTTTGCGTTATTGCCTGTCTGTCCCCTGCTGAGCCGAGGGGGTGGAGGGGACTGAAGAAGGAACTTGAAGAGATACATCCGCCGGACTTCGAGAATATATAGGATGTTCTGTACGTAAATTACTACGGAAAGGGGGTAATCCATAACGGGTTAGCCTATTTGGGAGCCCGTTGCGCAATGGCCGGCGTTGTTCCATGTTCAAGATTATCTTTTACTCATGCTCATTCCAAAGCACGTCTTTTTAGGTCTTTTTCTTTGCATAAATTTGGTCAAATATCAGAGTAAATATCAGCATTAACATATTGTTTGAGCCTTGAGCATACGCAAATGAGAGGGGTTGAAAATAGCTGTCGCCTGGATAACAGAAAGGACAAGAGCAACAAGTGGGACTTCGAGGCATCACAGAGAGGTAAGAACGCTGAAATGACAGGGGAAATATTCAGAAACTTGAGCTCGAGCATCGCCTGCCACCTCAAACTCTCCCTTAGCGATTCTGGCCCGACTGCGTCTTTCAATGACGGTGATGATGGCTACCGTCTTTGTGGAATTGAAGATGCCGTTTGCTAGCGGCATTAACTGGGATCTGAGCCGAGTGAAAGGGTCAGTGAAATCACAACAAACGAGCAATCAGAGCTGGGAGAACCACTCATGCATTATGAAGAGACCTACCATACTAGAAGTGGGTGAAGATGTTGCAGTCTTGTGAATCAGATGGGATGAAGATGACATGAGTGAAGGCCGAACGCTCTGGGAAGGACTGCTCCCCTGACCGCACAAACCATAGGTGAAATTGGGATTGGGTGCTGTTGCGACCGGAGAGTGGCGAAAAAGTTCACACTGGCCACCACTGGTGAAGAGCCAGGTTCGACATGCATGAAGTGTCGAGCATTTGTGGCCACAGTCTGCTGCATTGGTATAGTTGGAACCGAACGTCAGAGCGGTTCCACTGAAGAAGGCGATGGTATCATGAACGGAGTTGTCTAGACACGCGGTACTTGCGATCGTAGTCGCAGTGAGAGCAAAGAGACCCAGAAAGATAGAGTGAGACAACAACATCTTGTGCTATTCAGGGCCCTCCGGTGCTTCAATGCTGAGACACATGGCCCCTTTATCTCATTTGTTACATCGCGTCGGGCATGAGGGTTCGTCGGTCATGGTAAAACCAGTCCCCTAGGAAACTACCAGAGTGACTATTCAGGGAGGTGTTTGTTGAATTCTGGCATTAGCACAGTAATAATCTCCGAGGTCACCGCTAGGTAGGTAACTTGTCTTGACACTTGGGTCACGATAATAGACATGCGGCATGTGCTTTTAATTAACGCAAATAACGCATTCAATGGTTTGCCGGAATGGCCTACAGATTCGGCATGGTCGCCTATCTTAGCTCAGAACAGCCGAGTCCCTGGTGGGGTGGGGTAGGTGGGGTCCCAAACCACCGGCGTTCGTTCACGTTGCTGATAAGAGTTTTTATGAGCTTGTTTTAGGTAAGAGCTCACCAGGACCCACTGCTCGGATCTGTAGATGCCCTACTTGAAAGGCTTGTCTCTACTGAGAAAATTCGGAGATCTCGGGATTGGGTGCATCCCTGAAAGGCTTGGAATGTTGATCTTCGGTTGTCAATGCACCGCACTTCTGTATTACTTGACTTCCCCAGGGTCCTTCAACGGCTGCGAATTTCAAAGCAACTTGACTCCGCGGACAAGAGACAGGGGTTTCGTTAATTTTCCGGCAATCTCGCCACAGGCAGGCGCTAGGTAGATTTTGCCACTGGTGAGCATGTGACGAGATTGGAGGCTGCTAATGAAAGCAACGGTTCTACCACTATTGAAACTACTCCTTTTCACCGAGATCGCCTGGAACTGCGGCAATGGGATGCTATTCCGGATCCGGGCCAGAATCTTATTTACCCAACCCTAAATTACTTATTAGTAGGATGCATTACCTCGCGATAAGACCCCTGCAGTCGGGGTCTTTCGCGTTGTACCCCACCGTGGCCTCTGTAATTAGACTTGATCTGTAAGGCCTACCGAGCACTACTAGAACTATGCCAGCACTCATGTCCGCAAATCAATCCAGGCACAGATTGGGCCGAAATTGAGAGATTACCCCTATTCTACGGGGGAAAAGAACAGTTAGCCGGTCTTGGATTGACAGTACGGTTTCTCAGCACTAGCTACAGCCTAGCACACCCTGACTTCTGGCGATTAAGGTACCCTACAATACCACCCATTTCAACCCGATCTAGCCTTTGAGCTGGGGATTTTGGTTTCTACAAATCCTCGCGATGCTTGAGTGTTGAACTTGATTCCACTATTATTTTCCACCAATTACCTACGTACACTGCCAAGAGTCTCGGTCAACGGACATCGAAAAGTCCATATCATTTACCCTTCGCCCTCTCCTTCAGTCTTTCATGACTAATCTAACTTTATGACCTTGACAATTTGGCTTAAATGAAGTAAAGAAGTTTTCCCAATTGGAAGGAAACAACAGCAGAGAGGAGCAGCCCAAGAGACAGAAGATTCGGAAGAAGAAAGATAGGGGGAACGTAGGAAACGGAAAAAGAACCAGACAGAAGCTAGTAAATAGAACGGTCTCTCGAGTACTCGGCTTCAGGGACTCATGAACAGCCTGCTTCGAGCGATGCCACCGACCGCTTGTACACGTCCGCAAGCGCTTGATGTGATCGATATTTACTGTCCCCAGGCACGGCCTGCGCCCAACTCAAAAATTCCCTGTACGTATCACCAACTCCCGCCAAGTCTCCGGTTGCTGTCTGCAATGCCATGCTGGCATAGTCCAGATCCGTGTAAACAATGTGTAGGGATGGCGACACGGTTCTATCCTCGTCCAATATCCGTTGGGTGCTAGCCAGGGTAATGGATGGATAATCCTTCGCGAAGGCTTCTGCTTTGTAGCCGGTCAGTTCTGACTTCCCTTGGATGACCAGCTCTGTGAGCCGAACAGCCTGCGCCCATTTTAAGGCCACCGTTGCTTTGGCTACCAAGTCTGCGGATGGTACAACCGCTCGAGCAGTTTGTATTTTGTTAACGACCGCAGTGACTAGCTGCCCCATGTTGCCTTGCCCGTTCTTGATTATCACGTTCTTTTGCAGGAAAGAGCCGTCGTAATTCCAGGCTCGGTCAATATCTAGGGCTGTGTCATAAACGTCGGGGCTGGTAGTCGCCCCCCGAGTTGTGGGCGTGAGCTTTTTCAGCAGATCAGCGTTCATGATCTTTTCGATAAAATCCAGCAGGGTGCAGTCTTTGTTTATGCAATCACCCCCGATGGTAGCCTCATATGGCACGCCGTCTGCGGCCGCTCTGGCAGCGGCAGCGGCATCGATTTGGTAGGCGTAGTAGAAAAAGATAGCTTCAAAAGGGCCGGTAAACCCAGAACAATGTGCAAGGTTGATGGAAGCAGCCAGAATGAATATAGAAAAGATTAACTTCATTTTAGGTAGCTTCAAAAGAGGAAGAAGGGTTGGGGAGTATTCGATCCAGTGCAATCGCAGAATTAAAATCAGCTTCTTGCTAGACGATAAGGCAGGAAATAAACTAAAGGAGAGCATCATACCGAGAAAGCTATCAGCAAGGCCTATTTATTCTCGGATCATATCTTGCTCTCCCCCCTCAGCGGGAGGACGGAGCTTGGTCATGGTCGATTCGAACATTTGCGACCAGAATCCGTTATTAGTGCGTGAGGCCGATTTGAACGCCGGCATGCTACTAGTCCATGTAACCTCAATCAAGAAAAAGGAACTAAGTCCGTGGCTATAGGACACACTAATTTCAACTGTTGAAAGGGGCAGTACTAGGACTAGTAGCCCGGCTACTAGAACATAGACTATCCACTGCAACTCTCGTGGTGGGAATTCATTGTGGACCGACGGACTCATGGCAAATATTCCCTCACGTCGCGAGCCCAAAGGCCTATCTAGCTAGTCCTCACTCGCCCTCGTCTAAAAAAGATCAATTATGGTAATTCTATGCCTGTCGGGGTTGTCCGTAGAGCCCGACCATATGAGACAGACTTGATCTATCTATAAGTAAATGCTAGAAATCTCTTCCCGAAGCCATGTTATGACAGGATCACTCATCTCACCTACCTAACGCTCCCTTTTCTAAATCCCGATTCATTCGTTGACATACCAAGAATATTCATTCGTTCACTTAAATTTATTTCCTATCCTTGCCTTAAACCTTTCCCTCTCTTTCAGACTTCGTTTTGCGCACAGGCTAGCCTGGCAGACAATTACCTCTATTACCATGGGGTCTTTCCTCCCAGTGATTCTGTCGCTCGTCCTCTTGGCCACCCGGGCCCATTGTCGGGCAGTTTTCGCCCATTTCATGGTATGTCTCTTAGTTTGGCAGTCTGGCAGAGAGGTTTCGCACTAACAGGCCGAAAAGGTGTCCAATACCCTGAACTATACAGTTAGTGATTGGGAAAATGAGATGACACTTGCGCTCGACGCTAAGATCGATGCATTCGCCATGAATATGGCCGTGGGTGACGCCACAAATACTCAATCACTCGAGAACGCCTTCGCTGCCGCTGGCAATACCGGGCTGTCGCTCTTCTTCTCGTTTGATTACGCAGGCAACGGGCCATGGGCTTAGGCTGATGTACTCACTATGCTGCAGACTTATACCTCTGACGGAGCATACTGGCATTATGAGTCGAAGCCATTTGTCTCTACCTTTGAAGGCCCCGATAATGCAGACGATTGGATTGATATTAAGGAACAGACCGGGTGTTTCTTTCTCCCCGACTGGTCCTCTGTTGGAGCGGACGTTGCCGTGAATCTAGGCAGTGGAGTGGCCGACGGTCTGTTTAGTTGGGCGGCATGGCCGTACGGTCCAAGTGACATGAACACCTATGTTGATGCTTCCTATATCGACTTTCTGGATGGTAAATCGTACATGATGCCGGTATCTCCGTGGTTTTTCACGAACATGCCCGGATACGACAAGAACTGGCTGTGGCGTGGTGATGATCTTTGGTATGATCGTTGGGTCCAGGCCATGTATTTGGCGCCTGACTTTATTGAGATTATCTCCTGGATTGATTTTGGGGAGTCTCATTATATTGGCCCGATCCAGGACAGTGATTCTCCGTTGGCGGAATCCACGTATACTGCGTTTGGGACCGGTGAATCCCCGTACAACTATGCATTGAATATGCCCCATGATGGCTGGCGAGCTTTTCTCCCGTGGCTTATCGATACCTACAAAAACAATATCTCAACTATCACGCAGGAAGGTGTTCAAGCATGGTATCGACTGAATGTTCGTGGGAGCTGCGCCTCGGACGGCGGGACCACCGGTAATACTGCCAGCGAGCTGCAGCTGGAGTATTGGCCGTACGAGATTCCTCAAGACCGGGTATTCTTTTCCGCCCTACTGGGCTCGTCAGCAGACGTCTCAGTAACAGTCGGGGATGTTGCTTTGGAGGCGGCGTGGAACAGCACTCCAAGTGGAGGCGCAGGTCTCTACCATGGCAGTGCGGCATTCTCGGTTCAGGCGGGAACCGTGGAGGTGGCTATCAGTCGAGACGGTGCTATCATTGCGAGCTTTACAGGCCCAGATATTGTCACCGGCTGTGCCGCATCCAGCGGCATTGAGAACTGGAACGCCTGGGTAGGCAGTGCTATGGCGCCTACCCTGACCTCAGCCACCCCGACTTATTCACTCGCGGACCAGGTCTGCGTCCAGGGCTGGGGGGTAGGTAACTTCGAAGGCCTTTGCGCTTTTGCTTGCAAGCTGGGGTACTGCCCTGTCGGCGCCTGCTTATGTCAAAAGATGGGCCCTCAGGCGGATTTACCAAAGAGCTTGGGGGTAGTTGGCTACCCAGCTGCTGGGATGACGGCCGACTATACAGGTCTCTGTGCTTTTTCATGCAACTACGGATACTGTCCTTCGTCAGCTTGTACCACGACCCAAGTCCCTCTTACTACGTCGACGGTGTCGCCCTTCACTCCGAGCACCTGTACTGCTGGAGAAGGAACGGGTGACCTGGCGGGTCTATGTAGCTATGGCTGTGGCTACGGCTTCTGTCCGATCCACAACTGCACGTGCACCGCCACCGGTCCGCTGAATGTGCCGCCGGCCGCAAATACGACCATCTATGGTTATACCACGGATGTTCACCCAGATAGCGGCCTGTGTGACTTTGCCTGCGAGCGAGGCTACTGCCCATCACCCGTCTGCTCGGAGGACGTCGGTGGGGACGATGCCAGCGACTTGGTTTGCACGGATGATGATGAATCCGTCGACTCCACTTCCAGCTGCCTGCAGGACATCGAGACCTGCGATTACACCCTGACGTTCGACAGCTTTGCAAGCCTGAGCTCTTCCTCGAGCTCCCTGGAGGACTTCTGTGTGAACTACTATGCCCTGGGCATTCTTGCCGATATGCTCAACGCGACGATGGCCAACTACACAGACATCCTCTCCAACTACGGCGGCAAGTTCACCGAGTACCAGAAATACATCCGCGAGGAGGTTCCGGGCGCGCTGACGGCGTACATGAACCCCGGAGGAGCGGGTAATGCTTTCTTCACGTGTACCTTTAGCGACGGCGGCGTCAACACATCCACGACCAGCTGTCCGTTCGACTCGGAGCAGGTCTACAACGGCTACGAGATCTACTACAACCTCGTCAACGCCACCGCCTTCTGGGCCAACCTCAGCGCTACTACCGGGATTCAGGAGGACTGGGTCCAGTTCGGGGACGAGGACGTCGGGTCGGGCTGCGGCGTGGGGTCCGGCAAGACCTGCCAGCCCAACCGGGGCGTGCTGAAGGGCTACCCTCTGCCGGCGGACACCATCAACGTGACCAACCCGCAGACGATCATCGAGGACGCACTGCCGGGGATCCAGAACCTCACCGAGACGATTCTTCTAACCCAGATCCTGGCGGCGACGGGCGCCTACGGAGGCAGCATGGAGAACGTGCTCCTCACCATCTCGACCGTCGTCTTCACGCTGGCGCAGGCCGTAGCCAACATGGGCATGGTGGTCGAGGTCGCCGACAAGGCGTCGGCGGAGGAGAAGAAGGCCATGATCGAGGAGATCATCTTTGGCGTCCTCATGATTGTCCCCTTCTTGGGAGAGGTCCGGCTCATTTCGGACGGGCTGGAGCAGCTGGCCGACATGATGTCGCTCATTGGGGACGTGGGCGCCTTGGGCAGTACGATCTACGGGGTAGTCACCGACCCGGACTCGGCGATCTTGGATATCTTCGAGCTCGCCTTAGGGGGCGGGGTCCGGACCCCGGACGAGTTCGAAGAAGCCGCCAATGCCCGTCGCGGGTTGACTGACGACGAGGTCATCAGTCTGGGATCGGACTGGAAATCCTGGAGTGATGACCTCTCCGAGGTGCAGTCGGTGTGCTACTAAGGGCTGGCCGGATCCGGAGATGGGTATATCTCGCAGAGATGTTACGTCGGAAGTACAGTGCGTACATGTCTTGATCTATAGCATACCAATGAATAGTTTGATTTTCTCCAACACTGAGGGAGGCGGTATCTTCCTTCACCTACTCTCTCTACAATTTTGGCTTGTCTCCCTCTCTCTTCCGATCGAGATTCTTCACTCAATGCTCCAGCACTATTCGGCCATGGGGTCTCAAAGTAACCGACTCAGCCGCCGGTAGTCGATGGGTGAGTAGATAGGCCATTACTTGATATCTTGCTTAGGAGAAGACAAGAATGCTTTCAACTGCTTGGCAGCTTGCTATGGTATTGAGAAGCAAGCTGCCTTTTGAGACCGCAATGAAATGAACCAATCGAAAATTCAGGGTTCTCTTGCCACATTAGTCTCAAACTGTAGATTAATGTTTGTCACTCCGCTTCGAGTTCCTTCGGCTTCCAGCAACAGCGACGATGATGGATTGGTCCTGGTCCATCTGGACAACACTTGCAAGATTCCAGGTCAGGATTCTGTTTCTGTTCATCGATAACATTGACAGGGTTATACCACCTTCTCATATGTAGCCTGTTTCTTACTATCTAGAAATCGATTATGGTGATTTGCTCGTGTTTTGTTATAATCGAAGAGAAAAGAAAATGCAACCATCGTACTGTTATTGCAGTATTCATTCTTAAGTTTTGGTTTATCACTGAGCCTTTAATTTCGACTTCTTCAAATACTCGGCATGTTGATATCTTGATATCTGCATATTCTTGTTACTATGTATGTTATATATCATATTTATCTTTCTACACTTGGTACAGATTCGGTCCAAAATATCATCAAAGACAGATATGATGGGCCTTGATTTTAATTTTAGGTTATGACTAGTCCTTTTCCCTGGTATTAATCCATATAAAGTACACATAGCACCTGCAAGGGATGAATCTCACAGGTATGTTTCCAAGACAAATGCTATATGTTGACATGTTCTGGTGCTTGCTGCGACACCGACACTAGGTTCCACATCAGGAAACAACGACAGCCAGCCAACCGAGAATAAAGATAGCACTGGTGGTTAAACCTTCCGTACAGCACGTGACGCAGCTGTGCCTTTTCGCCGACGACGACAAAGAAAATGCCCGCGAGATGGAACCCTAACTGGTTCTGCGAGCCCAGGTTTTCTTTCACCGCGGCCCTGATTGTGGTGGGTGAGATTATGAGATAAAGAATACAGTCCTTGTAGCTAGAACTATGGACTCTAATTCTGGCTTCTAAAAGTTCAGTAGCAATAAAGAATCACAAATAAAAGCACTGCCGCCGGCGCTCATCGAAACGCATCTTCCTGAATCCTTAATTCCCCAACCGGCTCATTTGTCAAGCAAAGCTGTTTGGTCTTTCACTATGGGTGGTAAACCTGGGAACCCCGATGTTGATGTAGAGGTCGAGGTGATCAGATTCCAGGCCGAGCAAGATCACGCAGCGATTATCTTTCTGTTCAGGAAACGAGTGTTCCATCTTGCCATCGTCCGCTCCGCGATCCCGGACAGCGCTGCCAGACTCGATATTGTGCGACAGCTATGGTCGGACACCCCGTGCAAGGGCGACACGATCCGCAATCTGGCCTTCGATTGCCGGCCTATCTTCCGCATCCGTGGAGCACAGGCCTCGACGAACCTCGCATCTCATCTGGTATCCATGCAGGTGTCGTCCCATGCCGGCCGCGCGCATGTTATCGATCTCGGCGACCGGCGATCCCTCACTAGTAGTCCTCCACGGATCGAGCTGGCGGAGCAAGGAAGGCTGAGCTCTGTGCCCCGATTCCCGCTGTCGGCGGCGGAGGTCGTGGAGGTGATTGAAGCAGGCTGGCAGTATCGAGTCAAAATCAGCCAGCGGGTTTACATCTACTGCATCCAGAACAACCCAAAGTTCTGGAACCCGAGCAACGAGGCGCGGTGGCTGCGCGATGCAGCCATCCACGAGGTGCAGGGAGTTATGGGTCTGGACACGCCGTTTCCGGGGATCTTGTTCCCCGACCGTCCGGAAAACGTGCTGCCCGAGGATGTGCGGCGGCGACCCAGACCTCTCTCCTACCCTTGGTCGACCGGGCTGCGGCAGATCGAGCCCCCCAGCCCCTTCTTCAAGTCGAACTGGCGCGCAGAATGGGTCTTCCCCTGTGGAGACGACCTCATCTTCCGATTCAACGTGCTGTGGACCCGTCCGCACTGAGAGCATCCCCATGAGGCCTGTTTCCATGTCCAACTCGTGCGCCCACCCCCGGACTCGCAGTCCAGTGGGACTTTTGCCCACCTGATCTTCGAGTCCCGAGACCGGCTGGTGAACCAGCCACAGACCAGCCCGATGCGCTGGCGCGTGGCGGAGGAACAGTGGAGCGAGATGATCGCCCGGATCGGTGAGTACCACTTCAACATGATGATGACGATGACCTCGCACCTCCCCAACCACTTCGAGCGCCTGCGGTCCCAATTCATCCCTATCCGTCTCGGTCGCCCCAATCGGACCCCGGTCCCTTCACCTGACGTGAGTGTTGGCGCTCCTGCCAGCGACAACACCACCACCAACAGCAACAACTACACGGACGACCCCGTCACATGGCCCATGCTCCCGCCCTCGGCCCAAGCCCGCCTCCGCCACCTGCCCCAGTACGATACCTCAGCAGTCCGCATCAACTTCGTAGTCCGAGCCGGAACGTACTACAACATCACCATCGACAGGGTGGAGATGATGTGCGACTTTCTGGACCAGCCCCAGCGGCTGGACGAGTGGGTGACCGGGGTGGAACGGCTGGAGCGGGCGAGCTCCTCGGCAGGTTCTTTCCACCCCTCAGTGCGCTGCCCGCAGCTGCTGGGGATTTTGGATCTGAACGGACCCTTCCCTGCTGTCCTAACGGCCTACATCCCCAGTACCTTGCGGCTGCCAGACATAAGACATTGGGAGACGACGCTCGACCAGCGACGCGGGTGGTACCGGCAGCTCCGCGAGGCGGTCCGGTCCCTGCGGCGGCGCGGCGAGCCCTGGCCCGGCGAGCTGCACAATGTCCTCATCGATGAGCCAAGCGGCAACCTCTGGCTGCTGCGGTTCGTGTCCTGGGCACCGCCGCGCGTACTTCTGGATGTGCAAGTCTTGCGGGAAGCCCGCCAGTTGTTGGGGCTCGCGGAGTTGGAGGCGGAACCCGATTTGGGAGAGGGTCTGGATGCGCTATGATGTCCGCTATTGTCAGAAGTTAAGGAAAGTAGACGTGCATGCCAAGCCATGGCCATACGCCTTGATAGTTGATAAGAGAAGATGAGCAAAAGTGGTGGAGGGAAAGAGAAAAAAGACAAGGCGTAGAAAAGGTTTTGCTTGAGTGATTCCGGTCTACTAGAACTAGTGCCTCAGGCGTTTGGCTTTTGGTGAATAGAAATCTGTTTTTCTTTCTGACTTATTTGCGACCTTTCTGAAGCATAGTAGCGGAACTTGACATTAAGATAGTTCTAATTAAATCCCGAAATCTGGCCTCAATACTCAACATACACAGCACTGCAAAAGATAAGACCACAAAACACCGAAAACGACATTGGAGGATAAACTGCCCAGCCAGCTCATGAATCACCAGCAGATTTGATGGAAAAGCTCTTGCGCCGGTCCCATAGCTAGTATTGTACCTAGTACAGTACCTAAGAATGCCTTGCTGCACTGCTGCCAGCACTGGTAATGGCACCTTGTGCAGTGAGGCCTGGTTTTCCAGCTGTGTCAATGGGATCTGCAGCGTTTCCAGGCATCGAGTTTGAAGCACCTTAGGCACCGCCCAGCTTAATCCCAGCCAAGCAAGGAGGGCCCATGTTGAGGCTGCTCTTGCAACGAAAGTCGGCTAAACTCGCGACGCACCACCTCCTCTGGTTCCCCGGAACCGGAGGAGGCGGCTGTGCTGCTCGACTGCAGCAAGAAGCCATTGGTATTGGGCGCACCGAAGCAGGAGGGACCGCCTGTACCGGGCGATGAGAAGCCGAAGCCGCCGGCCGCGCCCATCACCCACTGGCGGTCACAGAAGCCGCGCGCGTTGACACTATAGGAGCCGGAGAAGGTGTTCATTTCCGCGGACGCCGAGCCATAGGGGGTGGTGCCCGTCAGCCGAAGCGCCCCGGCCCGGTTCGCGCTGGCGGTCACCATGCCTCCATATCCGTTCCAGTTGGTAGTCTGCATGTCACCCATCCGGTTCGCGTAGGCCATGACCGAGCCACCGAGCGGGTTCCGACTGGTCAGCCCAATCTCACCCTGAATGCTTGCCGCAACCGTCGTCCGCGGACAGCGCAAGCCCGCCGCGGCCGTCCACCCTGAGATGATAGGCGCCGCCCGAGCGATGGGGTATTGTCGCCTCCCACTCGCCGAGGATGAACGGTGTCGATGCCGGTGGCCGATGGAAGGGGTTGAGGTCCGATCGCATTTGCCAATCTCCCGGACGTGCCTGGCCGGAGCTGACGGACCCGTTGATGCCAAACTGTTCCGGTATGCCCGACGGATTCGAGCCCCAACTCATCGCTGCGGTGGCGACGGCGCTGAGATATTTTTGACACGGGGTAGTTTCGATATGAGGGTTGAGGTTCAGCCGGGGGGGGAGGGACGTCTCTGAGTAAAATGGAGAGACACAGTAAGGCAGATGGTGAAGAGGAGAGAGATTTTAGGATAGGCCAGGTACAAGAGAGCTCAGCGAAAGCCGGCTGGTGCGGTGTTTGTGAAAGGTTGAAGTGTAATGTGGTTTGACAGTGCTGGATCGCTGGCTCCCTTATATGTTTTGCTCGTGGGTACCGTCTACAAGGCAGGATGGGCATGCAACTCTCTGTTCCATGACTGGAGATGTTTTCTTCACCGCTAGATAGCAAACTCATTGCTCTACAGGAAGTGAAATCGGCGGGATCTTGGTCTTGTCTCTGGATATCCTTTCAGCATCAGACATAGTTTATGGCGTTAGCCTCTTGGCTGTATCACTCCTCGTAGAACTTTTTGACTATCGGAGTTACAACTCACAACGGCGTAAACATCGGCAACTGCAGTTGGATACAGAGTCTGTGCCAGTTCTCTCCTGTGCAGCGCCAGCGTCTTGCCGACCATGCGATACACGGAGAGCCGAAGATATTTGATGTGGTGATGAGGGAAAGGAGCCTCCTGGCGCCGCACTTCGCCTGATTTCTGTCTGAATAAAGTATCCTGCTTTCTTTGTCCTCCTCGTGTTTTTCGCTCCGTGTCTCGGTTCTTCTCCTCTGTTGTCACAGACCTGGCTCTCGTACTGAGACACGTGATCATCAAAGCCCCGAAACACGGGATGGAGGAGAGATCACCTGCCAAGACGAACACCCTCCGCTGTCTTGGATTGAAATTTCTCTCAGCTCATTGAGGTATACCCTGAGTAGCACCTGCAGCGCGTGATCATGGTCAGATTCAAGGCTTTTGACGGTGTTTGGGGCTGTGCATAAGGCCTCAGACATGGCAATCCCACCTCGCATTCTCCTGGCCAGACATCCAGCTCCTATTCACATGATCCAGCCAGTCTACTGTTTTAGCCACGCCCTTTAAGTGGCCCGCGAGAATCCGAAACCGGTGGTATCATTTTGGCCGCCGCAGTCGCTCTCTTCCTGTGCTGGACAAGAAGCATTGGGTCTTCCTTACCCGCCTCCTTTCCCTCCCTTTCCCTGGGCCTCTACCATTACCTACTGCAGACAGTTTTAGCCAAACCATAGACTAGTTAGAGAGCGAAACGGAACCTAGGTGGTCTGTAAATGTTATTAATGTCAGGTGGGCGTCTCAACAGGGCCTTGGAAAGGCCAAAGACACGGCGGAAGCAGTGCCGAGCTTCTTTGCTGCTCCAGCCGGATGCTGGCATCCAGGGGACATAGACCCGTTCAGCGGTGGCTTGCCAAAAGTAGAGACATTCTTTTAACGGAGAGTCACAAGGCTTCTTTCCTCCTGTTCATCATAATAATAATTAGCGTTCATCCCATTACGATGCTACTGTATACATGTAATTACCTGACAAGGCTTACTAACCAATCCTTAGCGAGTCAACCTAAGCGCTTAAATGAGGGGCTATACGTATGATACGGAAGTATCATGCACTTTGTCCTACCTCACCCCTCTTCTTCAGCAACCTCATCAACCACCCCACTACATAGAGAGACCACCTCCTCCAGCTGCAGAGTACGCCACCATGCCCTCCGACCTCCTCAGGCCACTGGCCGTATTCGCCCGCCAGCCGCAGTCGCAACGCTATATCAAAGCCATCAGAAACCTGGGAGATGCATGGCGTCGCCTCGCCGACGAGCCTCTCTCTGAGCCAGATACCAAGTCCACCCTCGTGGAAACCAGCTTCGACCTGGTCCTCACAATCAAGAGTGCACAGGAAGCTCAGTCGTCCCTGTCGGATCCCATGGTCGTCGAGATGTCCACTCGCGAGCCTCTGGCTGCGCCACCCGAGGACACCACTACATCAGGATCTCCGCCCCGCCATTACCGTACCTTCGCCGACTGGGGCACGGATTTCATCTGGCGCGATTTCGACGACCTGCGGTGTGACGAAGGCGACTGCATGCTGGAGGCGGACGAAGTCCTCAGCTCCCCCGTCTACCCTCCATCCGTGTTCGAGCACTACGATGCGTGGGTGGAGACGTACACCGAGAACTTCGACCAACGACTCAACAAGACCGGCGACTTCCATGCCTCCACGTTTGCCACCGTCGCGGAAGAAGTGGCCTGGAATGTGGCGGGGTATCTGCTGGCTTGGCGCATTGCCATGGCGCCGGATGTCGGGAGGATCGAGTTCAGCGCGGGGCGTGTCGAAGTATATCCTCGAAAAAGGGAATGAGAAGAGTGTGACGTTGTCCTTTCTGCGGGATCAGGCTGGGCTCTTAGCGAAGGGAGAGTCGGTAGCATAGCAAACTGAATGTTCTAGGCGGCGGAGATTGTTTTATTGTGATTTTCCACGTGCAAATGTAATGATAACCGGCATGCATGCTTTCTCGAGGGAAGGGTCTTGGTTGCTTCGGGACGCTACAACAGGCAGTATTTTCTTATTGTTTTGTGTGTTGTTTTTAGCTACTTGGTACCAGGATGGGACGAAACATGCACCGACTACATATTCTGGCCCAGTCACATCGAAATAGCAGGGGTCTTTGTCTTTTGCTTCTCTACTAAAGCTCGTTTTCTGCTCACTTACCTGGTTGTCGGATTTATCGACCAAAGACTACTTGTTCATCGTCCTCCTCTCTCGCTTATAATTGTAAGCATTTCTTGATATGCCCAAATTTCCACCACGGCGATAAATATGACATCACTCGATGACGGTACAACTAGACTAGTTAGCCACCGGATCATAAGCTGGGCTTTGAATATACCGGCTGCACTCTGTCTTACAGAGATAAGGGCACCAGGCCGAGAGAACCAAGACAAAAACAAAGCAAAAAGAAATGACGTCCTAGGAGAGGATCGAACTCTCAACCTCACGATTAACAGTCGTACGCGCTAACCAATTGCGCCACCAAGACGTGCTTGATGTATTCTCCTGGGTCTGCTGTGCTTATATTCCTCTCCCAAGTTTAGGCTATAATTCCAGCACAATTGAGAATTCCGTGGCCGCTACGCCTACACATTCTGTGTATTCAATGGCTCAAGTAGCCATGAAACCCGACCCCACAACTCACTTCATCTATTCTCTTGCATCATTACTGAACTACCCTTGTGCGAAAGTAGCACGCTAAAATCGACCACATGCTTCAGCCATACTCTCCGTCAGGGACCGAACCATAGTATATCTCAGTGTTCACCCAATCTACTTGTACCAATCCCCTACCCTTACTCCCCAAAAAAACATCAAACCCTCTACCCCCCTCACCATAGCTATACCCATAACCCCTATCAAAACCACCCTCCCCAGCCCAACACATAGAGCAACCCCTCCGACCCAAGCACAAGCCTGAAATTGGGGTATCACAACCCCCCCCCTCGGAGGTCACCGCTCAAACACCCCCGACCCCCGATGTGGAGCCCACCCTATCTTCCTGCCCACCAATCACGCAAAGCCTCAACGCCCCACTTACAGCTCCGTTGCCCTTAAAATTCTTTAAAATTCCTAGATTCTCATGAAGGATTACGTGGATCCCTAACCTCCAAGCGGAGGTGGTTCCTGCCGATCGGTGGTGAGGGTTACGCATTTGAAGGGATTTGTTTCTGATTCTGTTGGGGCTGGGCTTTAGTGACATGCAATTATAGATTCGAACTCTTTCTTTTTGTCGCTTGGTGGCGTGAAGGGCGCTTGAGGTCGAGTGCCTGGGGCCGCACCCTGATTGGGTCTGGAGCTTTACTCTGGGGATTTTCGGGATTTCATGGGAATTGTTATGAAATGAGATGGTCTGGGTGTGCCGTGGAGGTTCTTGGCAGTGACGTGTGCTCTGCGTCTTTTCGGGGAAATTGAGGGAGGCCAAGATAGGTCTCGGTGTCGGGGGGGCGGGCGACGTTTGGTGGTGGGGGGTCTATGAGGCATGTGTTGTGCTTGGCAGGCTTTCAGTCTTGGTTGTTTTTAGTGCACGATAGAATGGTCTTGTAAGACTCCTTTGTGGAGGTGTTTGTCAGATGGTACAGATAAGAGTGATTGATAAGGCTAAAGTATAAAGCTAATACTAGGGTACAGGGTGGCTAGAAGCGGAAGAGCTCTTATCGAGTAGTCACGGCGACGAAAGTATGGGGTTAGGCAAGGCCAGCTCAGTAGACCGGAAGCTTGAAAGCAGGGAACTCGTAGGTCCACGAGTCGATGGACTTCTGGTCGTGGACGCAGGAGAAGCTGCTGTTGCTGGACCAGAGCGGGCGGGTGGGCCACTGGCAGAGCATCTGGGTCTCGCCGGCGTAGGAGCCGGAGGAGACGGTGGCGTTGAGACGGGAGGGCTTGACGCCGTTCTCGACCCAGTTGATCATGATCTCCATGTTGTCCTCGGGGTAGGGGCCGGGCTGGAGGGAGTTGGTGCCGCAGTGGGCGGCGCCGGGGATCAGGTAGAACTGGTACCAGTCGGCCATCTTCTGGAGCGACTCCTGGTAGCTGAGGTCGCCGTACATGATGGAGCGGACGGATTGCCAGTAGTGCACGGAGGAGGCGGCGGGGATCGAGGGGTCGGACTCGCCGTGGTAGTGCAGCAGCTTGCCGCCCGAGGACTCGAACTCGGTCAGGTCGGGCACCGTCGTCTGCAGGCTGTCGATGTAGCGGATCATGCCCGTGTTCATCCAGCCGACCAGCGTGTCGTAGGTGACGTTGTCGAGGTTGGACAGGTTGTCGATGTTAAGAAGCTGCACGAACTTGGTCACGTACTCGCCGCCGGTGGACGGGATGTCGAGCTCCCACGCGCCGGTGTCGGAGTTATACTCGGTCGTTGCGTCCGACAGCTCGGAGCCGATCTGCCACGACAGGTAGGCACGCTCGCCCTGGCTGTTGTGCAGGCCGTCGTAGATCGCCTGGGCGAGCTTGACGCCCTCCGCGGTCACGGTGCCGTTCTGCGCGGGCTGGTAGCTGGTCGAGCTGCCTTCAGCCCGCTTGCTGAAGCCGAAGCCCAGGGAGGTGTAGTTCTGCTCGGCGCAGTAGTAGGACTCGCCAATCACAGAGGTCAGGTTGAAGTTCAGCATGCAGAGGTCGGTACGCGAGATGACACCGTCGGTACGGCCGTCCAGAGGGTCGCAGGCCTCGATGGTGGCGTTGACGATCTTGTCGAGCATGCACGGCTCGGGGTAATAGTCCATGGTGTGCTCGACGGCCGAGGAGAAAACGTGGTGGACCTGCTGCTGAGCGAAACGGAAGGCTGTTGGGAAAAGGTTAGGGATCGATGCGCTCTGATTGTAGAAGTCTGTCAGGGTTTGGCTTACCGGGAGCTCCAGTGATGGCACCATCATACTCGGATCCCCAGCGTTGAACCTGGCTCATACCCTCACGACCACCGTCGGAGCAGCCCTCGTAGTAAGTGTAGATCTTCTTGTCGCTGTCCAGACCATAGAAGCCCCGGGCAAGGGGCTTGGCAATCTGGGTCATTTCACCCAAGGCCTGGTAGCCGAACATGTAGGTGGCATCCCAGTTGATGGAGCCGTTGCCGTACAGCACGACCTCATCGTAGCTGTAGGAGAAAGCGTCGTAGCCGGCATCAGTGGCACCTTGATCATGTTAGATAATGTCTTAATAGTCAGGATTGTTGTTCATGACAGCTTACCCGAGGCAGCGCCGTACTCGAGACCGCCAGTTGCGTCGCTGGAGAGTGAGAAGCCACCGCCACCAGCAACGTAGAAACGGTTCTTGAACTCAGACGGGCTGGGGAAGGCATACTTGAGAACGACCTTGTCGCCCTTGCCGGTGTGGGTGTAAGCGACAGTCACGTTACAGTAGGTGTAGCTGTCCGCCCGCTTCATGCCGCCGCCCATGCCGCCGCTGGAGGTGGTGACACCCGCGGTGACGGACGAGGGGATCATGTTGATGCCCAGAAGGGTGCCATTGGAAGGCAGAGCAGACTGCACGTTGGACACGGTACACAGATCAGAGAGCGAAGTGGCATTGGCCGTTGCGGCTGCCAGAGCAGCAACAGCTGCACGGGAATACTTGCCCATGGTAGGCAGCTGAAATGACTGGATTGGTTGGTAGACTCAAGAAAAGAATGGATGAGGCTGGATGGTAAACAGGTCGACTTGAGGAGGCACATGGCTTCTATTTAAGCAAATGCGGCCTCAAGTATGAGGCACTGCATGGTCGAAGAGCATCCATGAATAGTCGGCCCATAATTGGAACGGAGGCGGGAAGCATGTTTGGGCCCACTTGTGTTTGACGTCCCTGCCCGGTTCCCTTCATCCCTCGTCACCCGCTTGCGTGGCCCTCCCCAGCACTTAGGGTCTAAGGGTTCCCTGATCAAACTGATGTTGAGTCTGCTACTGCTTCAGCCTTAGTTCACTGCCAAGCGAACAGCACCTCTAGCGCATTGCAGTGATGGAAAGTGCTGGAGTAATTTCGCAGTTTTTGCCTCCTCGCCGTGCGGTCTTGGGATATGACCCACCAGGCTGGGAGTTCAACATGAGTCCCATTATGGGATGACTAGAGCGTAGACCAGATAGCTGCGTGCCCAACATTTCCAAAATTGGTTCTGATGGCACCAAACTTGATGGTGTTCTGCAAGGATGCTAGGGCGGGAATAAGCTTATCCGCAGGCCCCACTGATGACCGATCTGGGATGCTTGGCACAGGCTTGGCGCTGGATTAGGGTCTCCCGAGCCACTTTGTATGCCCTGGACAAGTTTCTTCATCCTGCAGCCTAGTTATCCGCCGGGCTGAATACTGCTTCGGTGGCGAGATCCCTTGCCCCCTTGCAAAGATCGAGGGATGCAAGCCTTGAGCGTCATCTGCAAGCGCAGGTGATAAGGCTTCCCCACGTTCTACTATGCAAATGGAATCCCCAGCTCGGCTGTCAAAATAGTCATTCTCATCATTGTCAGAGCAGAATCATGAAAAGCCCAGCCACCGGCTTCCATGCAATCAGTACTAAGCTTTCTACGCTGCGAGTCAATCTCGCTTATGCATGCAGAGCAAGTGGCTTCGTCAGCTCTTCCATGGTCAACCCAACCGATGCATGTGTATGAGTTCTGTCTCATCTATCTGAGGATTAGGCTTGTGCCAGAGCTAACCCGTAGACAACGACCTTTAACGTTAGTCTGCCTGCTGGACTCTCGCTAAGTCTTGGCTAGCTGGTTCGAAAAGTGAGCAGCGCCGCTGTCGCCGACACGAGGATGTGAAGCCTGGGCGCCGTGTGTGCCTGCCAAGCTGCTAAGATACGCAGTTGCGAAGATCGTCATCTCAACATTATCCAGAAGATGAACTTAACGTTCGGAATAGAGTGTACTGATCCCTCTTTGGGGGGTCCTTTGCCCGGAGATCCACCGCGAGAAAGAACCTTTTGCTCCCGTCCGGCTCTAGCGCGCCGTCCTGTCTGCCTAATCACCACCACGTTCGCCAGAGCTTACTTTTACACGAGAGAATGATTACACAGAGGATTAAGAGAGTGTAGACAGCTTTTGATTCCATCAAGATGGATTACATGAAAGCCCAGGCGCCATGTCGAGGCTGTTCAAAGGCCTTGGTCCTGAGGGTGACGCGTCAGACCGTAAGGGACATCATTACGCACGTATCGTACCTTTCAGGAACCTTGCGGATAAGGCGGTGGTAAGCTGCAGGCTAGAACTAAAGTACCCGGTGTGCCGTCACTCCAACGGGGCCTCAGGTGGGTCGGCCTTGCCGGCGAGGGGGTGTCTGATGGAGTTTTCGATTACGTACTCTTGTGGACTTTCTGGGGGATGTAGTGTGCAGCCATCTTATCTCTAGATGATCGGGTGGTGAATTGCAGAAGATAAGGCGAGTGCGGTGGCTGTAAGATCATGCTTGCTGGGTGAGGTTGATTGTTGGATATTGGAGCAGCCAGTCGCTATGATAACTCCCGAAGAAACAGCAAGAGACGTAATTGGAGAGTGGTTGTACATGTTGCGAGATCAACGCAGTTTCTGTTCTATGCTTCAAATCGATAAACCATCACTTCTTCGTGTTCTGGGGATGGCTGGAGCAATAGATCTCGGTCCGTCTGGAATTTGACTCGTATGGCTCCATGATATGGAACATGGCTCGGAGCACTCGTGGATCGTCATAAATGCCTCACGTGGGGTGGCCGGGGGCTGCCATACGCTGCGAACACTGCTGGTAGCGCATCATCACTTCTACTGAATGTGACATTTTTTACTGTTTGCGTTGTGAGCCAGTTCATTCTACCGAGGAGGGCGCTATCGTGGACCTCAACTTGAGTACTTTCGATTTCGACTTTGGACTGTCTTAGAAATAGAGCCCAACAATCCACGTCTGCTGCTGTCTGCAAAACCGTCAACATAGCCTCAGCAGGACGAACTGATTCACCTTCTCCACGGCGGTAGATCATCAAACAAGTTCGACCAGACTAATCTTTTCCATAGTTTCCCTGGTTTCTAGATCCGTGTCATATTCACATCAGTCAGCGGCCACTCAAAGCTTTTCTGATTGGCTGCTGGATCTGCACCAAACCTAATATAGACCTAGCGCCAGGGTTCTTCCCGCTGACTAACCGACTGCTCCCTTTGCTGCCTTGACACCTGATCCTTCGACGGGTGTTCAACGTCCTGGTCTGTGATCTGGAGCGTACGCGTCCTTGTGCTCCTCAATCTACGTTTGCAAAGAAGAAGAAACCCTCTGTTCTGCAAGAAAATGAGCAGCGACGCTAGGTGCTCGGGTCGCGAGAGTCCGATGTACCCGTGGCTCATTCCGAACATATCGAACAGTCGACGGGCCTAGGTAGGAAACCACTGCTGTTGTGCTGAGCATCGCAAGAGAGAGTTGGCGAAGACTTCTCTCTCAGAGCTTCGCTCGCAGCGCTGTACATCACCCTTCACGCTACTCAGATGCAGTTGCAGGGGTCTGATGCAGGCATTCCCCCACTCGCTTTACTGATGTACACTGCAATGCTGGTGAAGTGTGACCCCGACGGGGGAGTTAGACACCGCCAGATATCTGCTTATCTTCTTACATATTGAGTGAGAGAATGACCAAGCTCTAGTTCTGTTGATAAATATCTCACGACCATGTTGCTCAAGCTTCTATCATCAAGCAGTACCCCAAAAACGAAAGAGTGCGTCGCACCTCTAGTGCCTCCCCGTGGCCCTCAACAAATTCAACACCAGCTAGAGTTATCATCGACTTACAACCCAGTCTCAATTGCGTATAAACACCGAACCTCTACCACCCCACGACTCTCACACACCAACCACCCCCACCGAAACCAAAGAAACCCAGCAAAAAAACAAAATGAACAACCAGAACCCACAAGCCCCCCCTCATCAGAACCAACGAACTACCTAACAAAACCCAGCCAAAGCCCGCACCCCCCTCTCCCGAAACAACAACCCCGCCCCAGCCTTGGGCACAATCGCCGACCGCCAGTAAAAGTACCTCCGCTCGTCTTTGGCCGTCTCCACCATCTTCACCTCATACCGCAGCAGGATCTGCGCGAGCACCAGCTTCAGCAGCACCGACGCATAATACCGTCCGGGACAGGCGCGTTTGCCCAGCCCCCAGATGGGGAAGGTGACGTCTGCGTCTGTGAAATCGGAGGATGTTGTTCGTGTCGTCGGGTTCCGGGTGTCTTCGTTGGCCTTCGCGGGATCTTGGGGGATGATGAAGCGGTAAGGGTTGAAGGTGTGCGGATCGGCGTAGAGATCTGGGTCGCGGAGGATGGGCTGCAGCGGGATGCAGGCGACGTCGTTCTTTGCTAGGGTGGTTCCGTCGGCCAAGGTGAATGGTTGGAGGACTTTGCGGCGCAGGGAGATGGAATCGGTTGGGTGCAGGCGGGCGGATTCTTTGAGGAAGCTGGTGAGGAGGGGGAGGTGGTTGGGGTTGATTTCTGGTTGTTGGGGGGTGGTGGTGGTGGTGGTGGTGATGGTGGTTGGTTGGGGCATAGCGGCGCGGACGACCTCGTCGCGTAGCGCAGACGTGAACTCGGGATGCAGGCAGAGGTCGTCTAGGGCGTAGAAGAGACACATGGCTGGTTGGTGGACGGAGGCAAACCACACGCCTAGCAGGACCTGGATGATGCGCTGGGCCGGCCATTCGTGTTGCTGGTTCTTGCGCGCGGCTGCGTTGACGAAGAATTGGATGCAGTCTGCATGTTCCGGGGCAGTGGTGGTGCTGGTGGTGCTGCTGCTGGTTTTGCGGATCCGCGCCTCGACGACGGGGGTGAGGCGATCGAGCAAGATCTTCAGCGCTCGGTGGCGGCGCATTAGATATGGCGCTGCAAAGGGCGCGACCCACGCGGGGAGCAGGCGCAGCGCTTCGGCGGTTTCCATGAGGTGTTCGGGGTACTCGAGCGCGGCGTCGAGGAAGACCTGGTCGCTTGAGACCTCGGGCCCGAAGAAGACCAAGGCGTTGGCAGCGGTGATCAGTCGCTTGGCCATCGGGAAGATTGGCACTGCGCGCCATTCCCCGGACTGGGGCTTGTGGGCTGTGATCTCTGCAGTGAGCGCTTGGGCTATGCAGTTGTGCAACGGCTGGGTTAGGGCTGGCAGGTGGGATCGCAGCTCCGCTTGCAGGGCTCGCTGGTGGACGGTCCCGTTGGCGCTCATGCAGTCGTCGTATTCGAGGCCGTTCATGGTATACTTGGGCTGGAACATCTGTTCTTGTTGAGATGAGAATTAGAAAGAGGAGGCTTGATCAACTCAAAAGCAAGGAAGAAAGTCGGATAGCGACGTACATCTTTCGCCAGAGCATGTAGGGACAGGTACGTGTCTGGCGCCTGCACCAATTGCTTGATGTGCTCCCTGGAGGAGAACTGGACTTGATATCCTTCTGGTGTGCGCACGGCATAGGGGCTATCTTTGATCTGCGCGCTGCAGTCTTAGCATTTTCTGCGCCGGTTCCTCTGAGCTCAACCACTTACGTGTGCCTTCTGCACAATCTCCGGCCCCTTCAAAAGGTATTGAAGCTGGTCAACGACCCTGAGGATATAGCTGGAAGGCTCGACAAGAACAACATTATGACGTGTCTAAGGAGTTAGATTAGCGATTTTCCTCTCTCGTCGTCGGCGACCGATGCACAGTACCGATTCTTGGGACTTGGACTTGGCTCTTAATCTGCGAACACACAACCAGCAGCAGAGCAGGAGGAGGAGCACGCTCCCGAGAGAAGCAACTCCCATATTCGTCGAAATAATCGAGAACAGCATGCCGAATCCGAGACAATTGTGTATAGCTACAAAACCACGAGAGGGGAAAGCGGCATCACCCCGCGAAGGGTACTTACGATTACAAAAAAGGGAACGCCCCCTCCGCTACTGCTCACTCACTATCTATCATATGCCTTCAACCGTGGCCTGATAACGGCCGTCGCTACTGCGGGGTATACGCCTCTAATTATCTCCAGCTCCAAAAAAAGTACGAGTAGCGAATACTACGCTTATGAATGCAAAGCCCTAGATGGGTAGGAGCAAAGTGAACCGTGGACAAGCTATCATCCTCCCGTCCGGAATCAATGCCAAGTTTGGCACGGGGCCAGCACGTTCTGCAGGGGTCGGGAAGTCAATGGCTCACTGGCTCTGGTAAGCGCTTAAGGCACCCTACGCTAAATTCCAACGTGCAGAAAATACGAGGCTCAGGATTCAACTTAAGTAAGTGCTGGACTACCCCGCTCGGGGGGGTTTATTCTCATTCGCGATCGTGGGGAGATGCACGCACATGGCAGAACATCGAACATCTTGATTGGCGCCAAGCAATAACACCAGAAACGGCCACTCTCTCGTGATCACTATAATTGGACGGGCCCTTATGGTCTCTCAGCCGCATCACAAGCAGGATTTTATGTCAAAGAGATAAGGCTAGTCGCCCTCGCCCGTGGCGGCGGAATAGTCCGCGTATATTGGCTGTGTTATGGTGGTGCGCGGCCACCTCGATGTGGCGAAAGAGAGAGGGGACGGAGATACCGGCTGCGCCGTTGGGTTGACGACCTAGGTAGTATGTACTTTCGAATCCCTATCCTGGTCTGCACGCCAAGGAAGTAAGTCGCAATGTGATAGCGCAGCAGTAGCGTGCATCCTTATCAGGAAAACCGGCTGCTCGATATAAGGGTACTCCTCTAAGGGGATTAGGAGGGGTATGTATCCTCACCCTCCTACCTTTTACATCTGTCTCAGTACCATCTACATCATGCTGTCTGTACTTACGGATTTTGGGTTTATCCAGGATCAATTGAGCCTGTCCCATCTGGTCGGAGGTGGTGTCGTCCTTCTCGTGATCTGGCGTCTGTGGCGGTTCACCGTTCGTCCGTTGCTCAACCCTGACTCGCCGCGAGAGGTTCCCTATCTGATTCCAAGTGAGTGCTGTACATGACAGATTGGCCGCTGCCTCGATTGCTGACCAAGGGAAATAGTTGTTGGTACGGTTGGTTCGCTCGGACCCTTTCTTGACGGCGCTAATGACTCGGCGAAAAAGGCCATGCAGTCCCCATGCTAAGGAGCCCCCATGCGTTACTATCATCCGCGATGTGAGTTGTCCATTCCAACCTTGGCATTGTATTTAGCATTACCTAAGTGATTGTGGCATCGTAGCAAGGATTGCAAGGGCAGTGGAGAACCAATTGCCATCAATGTCTTCGGCCAGAAAATCTACTTCGTCCTGTCGGAACAAGATGCCACCGCCGTGCTTAGGGAACCACCCCAGCTGACACATACGGAGCACTTGAAAAACCTTCTCATGGGCCTTGGCTGTTCGGAATCGGGAATCTCGGAGATGGATCACGATTCCGAACCCAAGGCCCCGCCGTTGGTTCTGGTCGCAGAGGAGCTTATGAGGAAACAGCTCCTTGAAAAGTCTTTAAGCCCGGAGATCCTCGCTCGGTCCTTGGAGGTCCTTGAGTCCCATATGCGATGGGATCGACTCGAAGCACCGACTCTTCTTCATAGCTCCGAAGATGGGCGGGAGCGAACGGTCTCGCTGTACAGGTGGGCGCAAACGGCGATCATCCACGCCGTCACGACGGCTTACTTTGGAAATGCGATCTGGGAGCTCTCGCCATACATCGTCGAGGACCTTGTGTGTTTGGAGAGCGACCTGTGGATCCTGTTATTCAAACTACCCCGACCATGCGGCAAGGAGGTCCGCGTGGCCAGAGCGAGGGTGCTGCGCTGCTTGGTGGACTACATGCGTCTGCCTCCCTCGAGCCAGCAGGATCAATCCTGGGCTGTCAGAAACTCCATCACGGAGATGCGACGCCGCGGACTGAGCGAGGATGATATGGCGTCGTATCTGCTGATGGTCCTGTGGGGGCAAGTTTCCCTCAACCATCTTGTTATCCTCTTTCCTCTTACAGAGCTAACCCCTCCTCAGCTCCAACGCAAACGTCTTCAAACTCCCCTTCTGGCTCCTCGCGCACATCTGCACCGACCAGACCCGTCTGCAAAGAGTCACCACCGAAGTTACCACCCTCTTCGCGCAGAGCACCGCCGCCAACGAACCGCTGGCCGCCCTCGCCCTGCGCCTCGAGCAGAACCCCCTCCTCTCCGCCCTCTACAACGAAACCCAGCGACTGACCATGAACTCCAGCTCCGCGCGCAGCGTCGAGAAGCCCCTCACCGTCAACGGCCGGACCTTCCAAGCCGGCGCGCACCTGCTCGTGCCCTACCGCCAGCTCGCCATGTCGCACCCCGTGCTCGGCCGGGACTGGGACCGCTTCCTGCCGGAGCGGTTCCTCGACCACCCGGGCCTGGCCCAGAGTAAGAGTTTCCTGCCGTTTGGCGCGGGGAAGCACAAGTGCGTAGGGCGGTATCTGAGCAAGCGACTGTCGCTGACGTTTGTTGCGCTGGTGGTGCATCGCTTCCACGTTGTGCGGGCGCTGGACGGCGTTCCGGCGGTAGGGTTCACCCCGGTCTCCTCGGGGCCCGGCGGGCCTGTGAAGGGCGGGGATGTGCGGGTCGTGATTGCGCCCAAAGAGGACGGGTTATCGCACGAGGAGAAATGATGATAAGCTTGTTTGTTCATTGAGCATAGACAATTTCCACTGGTGCTATCTATTTTCGAAGGTGCTTAGTGCGCATTGTTCGAGTGTACCATGGTATTGCGTGGGTCTACTATCATTCTTCCCGGTCCAGCGGGGAGGAGGTTGGGCCAGGAAAATAGCATAAGGTGGCTGAAGATAAGCGGGGCTCTCAACTGCCGGAGCAACAAGCACCGCAGAGAGCGGGACAGAACGGGTAATGTCCCCGCGAGAAGCCCTGTAGGACGATTGAAGAAATTAAAACTGGCATCTGAGGCCGAGATTCGCTGACTGGTTCGCTCGTGGCGAGGTGCAGGAATGCACCTCATGGTGATTAGAGGGATGCCGCACTGAGGGGTTCTTCCTGCAGCCACGCTCTTGGCACGAGAGTCATTCGCTGGCCATGCAGCTGAGCACTGCACTGCAACTGCACTACACTGTATTGTATATTAAGCCTAAGCCTCACAACTCACCCCAAGCCTTGCATGTCAGCAAAACAGCCTGAATTTAGTCGGCTGGCGAAGTTTTTGGACCCCAACGGTCAGCATCTACCCTCCATCAGGCCTCCTAGTTTCTCTGGTGCACTGTGCAGTATTATCGCAAGTTCCGGCGGCCCATGATGGATTCGACAGAGGCTGACTTGCATGACGACCGCACGGGTCGTCGAGCTTGGTGTGCTTTTCGCCCGTGCTGATCTGGCTCGCCCCCCACCCTTCCTCAATCCTTCAGCTGTCACGACGATGTCCGACGAAAGGGAAATGGTCTTTAAAGATCCAAGAGCCCTTACCTCCAGACCGTACGGTCTGCTGCTCTGCTGAGCAACCCGTTCCAGTGTTCTGGCCATGGATTATTACAACACGCCAGCCGCCGCCCCGCCGCCCGGGGTGGTCCCCAACTTCGTCAACCCGCCATCCCAGCGGACGACGATCATCGTGCTGCAGTCGATTTTCCTGTTTCTGGCGCTACTGGCGGTGTCCGCCCGCGTCTGGGTGCGGACAAGTATCATCAAATTCTGGGGCGCCGAAGACAGTGAGTAGCCCCTCAGGCTCTGCCCCACTTGGCTAGATATGGGACTCTGCTAAGAACGACAAAACATGTAGCAACCTGCATCCTTGCGGCAGTAAGTCGATTTGACCGGATATCGCCATCGCAGTCGCCCAGTGCAGGATGCTAAGTCACACAGTGCGGCTCGATCGCGCACATGACGCTCTACACGCAGAGTGAGACTTCCCCACTGCCACCAAGTCATATTCCAAGCGTAGCCCTAAGCTAAACAGCCCGTGCACGACAGCCCTACCCCTAGGCATCGGACGACACATGTGGGACGTGCGAGCCATCAACCTCATCGATCCCTCCTCGACCCGCGTACGTCTTCCCCCACCTCAAAAAAATATAGAGAAAAAACAAAGCCCCCCGAAAAATCTAATAAAAAACCCACAGGTCCTCGACGCAGGCGGCATCACCTTCCCATGGACGGTCTGCTTCGCCAAGATCTCGATTCTGTTGCTGTATAAGCGCGTGTTCCCGCTGCACCGCGAGATCGTCGCCGTCTGGATCGGCATCGTCGCCGACGCGGTGCTCTACACGTTCTGCATTGCCGTCGCCATCGGCAGCCTGGTGCAGTGCGCGGAGCTGTCGCAGCTGGAGGCCCCTTACTGCAAGTTCACCTCCGGGACGATGATCACGATCCAGTCGGTGATCAACGTGGTGACGGACTTCTACGTGCTGCTGCTGCCCATCCCGCGGCTGCTGAAGCTGCAGGTCAGTCGGCGGCGGCGGATCGGGCTGCTGGTGACGTTTATGAGTGGGCTTGGGTGAGTGAGACCCATATACTTAGTCATGATGTTGAGTTTGAGCGCTGACTGAATGTGGGATGTACCGGACAGAGCCTGCGCGGCTAGTCTGGCGCGGCTGGTGAATTTCCAGCTGAACGATAGCTCGGATGTGTTTTGGACGACGGGGCGGAATGCTCAGTTTACGTACGTTTTCATCCCGTACAACAGACAATGTCGACAGAAGGCTAGGGAGCTAATTCCGGTCTCATGCAGGATCGTCGAGATGAACATCGCCATCATCGTCGCCTGCGCCACCTCCTTCCCCATGTGCTTCGCGCGTCTCCGCTCCCTCACCTCCTCCTTCTACAACTCGGCCGTCTCCCTGCTCCAGAGCGGCAGCCGGGAGACGCCCAAGGTCAGCGAGACGGGGGACGCCGCGTTGCGGAGCCACCTGTCCAGTAAACGGCGGCCGGGGACCCAGAATTGGGAACGGCTGAAGAATGGCAAGGGGGACGGGCGGATGGACTCGCAGGAGCTGGAGTTTTTGACAGATAATCCGGTTTAGCTGGTTGCTCATGCGGAGGAGTAGGAGTCAAGATACTGCTACTTTTAGAATATACTAGGTACCTACATTGTCTCTTATGGTCAACCGGGGTCTTGTCTGATAGGAGGGACGATTGATTCGGACAGTCATTAGGGCTGAGTAAGCACATGCTACCACCGGGATTTAAGTGTAGTAAAGTCAAATAAGACGAGGCAAATGACAAGGGTCGTATCGTAGCCCCCTGATAGGTGTGTCTCATGCAGGGATACAGTATACATCCCGCAGGTGGTGCACTTCCACTTATTCTTAATCCAGTTAAGCCGACAGCTGCTTAGCGTACAGCGTTTCTTTGTGAGCGTGAACGTGCTCGTGCTCCTCCACAATAAAAACAAGCACTTTCCCTCTTTCCCCTCAGCTCCCTACTCCTAAACTCAAACCTTCCCCCACTCAACCTCTCATCCCCCTTTCTCCATTAACCCTAACTTCAACATAAAAAAAATGACCACCCTCAGCCCCGTCCTCGTCACCGGCGGCAACGGCTTCATCGCCTACCACATCATCGCCAAGATCCTGGAGAGTGAACCGGAGTGCACCATCCACTCCATCGACGTGAACACGCAGCGCAACCGCCACGCGGGGGCGAACGTGCACTACCACCAGGGCGACATGGCGAGCGCGGCGGACGTGCAGCGGATCATGGAGCTGGCGCGCCCGACGACCGTCTTCCACACCGCCTCGCCCGAGTTCTCCGACGAGCCCGAGTCCGCCTACCGGGGCATCATCGTCGACGGCACGCACCACCTCCTCGCCGCCGCCTGGGCGGTGGGCACCGTGCGCGCCCTCGTCAACACCTCGACCTCGGGCGTCATCAACGACAACCACACCGACCTGGTCGACGCCACCGAGGAGCTGCCCATCCTGCGCCCGCCCGTCCAGCAGCGGCTCTACTGCATCGCCAAAGCGGACGCCGAGGACGCCATCCAGGCCGCCAACCGCACCTCCGCCGCCGGGGCCGGGGCCGACGACCGCGGCATCCTGACGTGCGCCATCCGCCCCGCCCTCGCCTTCGGCGAACGCGACCTCGGCACCCTCGGCAAGATGTACGCCGTCGCCCGCCAGGGCAAGCTGCGCTTCCAGATGGGCGACGGCCGCAACCTCTACGACTTCGTCTACGTCGGCAACCTCGCCGACGCCCATCTCCTCGCCGCCCGGGCACTGCTGGCCGCGTGGGGGAAGCCCGCCCCCGCCGAGAGAAGAGTCGACGGCGAGTGTTTCCACATCACCAATGAGGAACCCTGGCTGTTCTGGGATTTCCAGCGCGAGGTGTCGAGGTTGGTGGGCAGGCCGGTCAGGAAGGAGGATGTGGTCGTGATTCCCAAGTGGGTGGGGTTGACGATCGGGTTCGTGAATGAGTGGGTCGCTTGGGTGGTCTCCGGGGGGACTAAAAAGGCGAATATGACGAGGGAGGGGATTCGGTTTAGTACGTTGGTCAGGACGTTGAATGGGAGCAAGGCGAGGAGGGTGTTGGGGTATTCTCCCAGGATTGGGGTGCGGGAGGGGTTGGAGAGGAGTGTGAGGTGGTTTGTGGAGAATGAGGGCGGGGCAGTGGAGGGGGAGAAGGAGGATTAGAGAGGAGATTTTGAGATGTGGTCGGTGTCTTGGTAAGCTTTGCAAGCTTTGCAGATGATTGGATGCATCTTGGGGATTTTTTGGTTTTGCACGATGTTTGCGGTTCGTGGATTCTACATAGTACTGTACTATGTCATACTGACAGCGAGGATGACGGGCGGGGTATGTGGCGAGGATGAACTCGATGTGATTGTGTAACTTACATAGCGGGTATGTGATACATGAAGTCTGTACTCCAGTCCAGGGCTCTACAGCATCTGCCGCACCTACGTGCTTGGCTATGCCATGAGCCATATAGAGTATCTGTGCATGCGCTTCGGGAAGGATCTACCACTCTGACAGGATTCCGCTCCACCCCTTGCATGTATGCACGTGGCCAAGACAAGAAATCTTTATGCTTCATGATTGCAGGAGTACTACCCTGTGAGTGCTCACACCGTGCAACGTCATCACCATTCTCGTACCCCATATAAATCCTACCAGCGACGCCTCGAAAAGTACTTCTAGTACAAACAAGCCCAGCGCCCACGATCCAAGTGACCTATCTATACTGATACTCTGCAACACTGAACACAACAATCATCATCCCTACCACAAAAGCCCAACTCCGTCACAATCACCATGACTAAAGACTCAACCCAAACTACAGACAGGCACGCACCTACCCCGCCAACCCCCAACGACACCCACCCACTAACCCACCACCGCAGCACCCCGGAATCCCAATTCTGGGCCCTAACCAAGCATCCCAAGCAGGTGACATCCGACGATCTCGCCGCCGTCTTCGACAAGCTCCAGCCCATCGCCCCCGAAAAGCTCACAGGCAGCCGATGGAGAGGCTACATCTTCCACAGCGGCCACCCCGCCGAGAAGCTAGTGATGGAGGACCTCAAATTCGCGGGGAAGGATTTAATCTCCTTGAATGAGGTGAATCTCATGGTGTTCGACGGGGAGGGGAATTGGGTCAAGTCGGAGGAGTGGGGCACTTCGAGGGTATGTGTTGTGATTCCTGATCACAGGCGCGAGCGACTGTAGTTTTTTTATCAGACGAGGGAAGCTAATGTCGAGGACAGCTGCGTGAAGTCAAGTTCCGAGAGGTGGTCTCGGCCGCCTTGATCTATGATACCAAGCCTTGCATCGATTATTGGAGGGGTGTCTCGGATGATGTGGTGATGGTGGCGTTGGAGGACTGTGGGAGCTTGACGCAGGGGGCGGGACCGTTGTTTGGGTATATGATTAGGGTTGTGTTGGAGTAGGGGTTGGCCGTTCTGTGGAAATTGCTATTTTGTGTCTGTAATTTTTAGTTTCTAGGCCTAGTATATTGGAGTTGGATTGCTCACCTGATAGTACTATATGTTGAACTATAACATTGTACTTGATCTGGGTCGGGGACGATGTGTGGTTCTTCTGCTGATGCTATGTTCCAGAGTAATGTGGTTTTTACGTTCCTTGAGTAAGACTGAGATATGAGACATTGCCCCCTTTTTTTAAAAAAAAAAGAAAAGGAAAAAAAAAGAAAACAGGAGGCATACAGATCTACCCCTGGGCATGCTTATCAGATTGCCCTAAACCCACAGCAGATCGATATGAATTAAGCTCGGAGGGTCAGTTCGGCCCCGACTCGGGTCAGGGAGTTAGCGTCCTAATCGGGAAATCCCCGAGCCACTCCACCGACTCGACAATGTATACAAAAATTATATCTATTGTAGTATCTCAGACCTCTTCCTCCCTTGTTATAGCATAAAACAATCCGATCTCTATCTATCTTGTGGTTTACACCCTAAGTCAAGTCTGCTGTCATCATGTCCGACGTTGAGAAGAATAGCATGTCCTCGGACAACACTCCGAAGGAAGAGACAAGCCCTTCCAAAACTCCGACCTTCCCTGAAGGAGGCATAAAGGCGTGGTTGGCAGTTCTGTCTTGCTGGTGTGTGATGTTCAACACATTCGGTTACATTAATGCCTTCGGGTATGACCTGCACCCCCATGTCAACCCTGCTTCGGAGTTAACCGAGCCCCAGAGTCTACGAAGCATACTACCAAAGCACATTCCTCAAGAACGAAAGCGCCTCCAACATCGCCTGGATCGGCTCCCTACAAGCCTTCTTCATGTTCTCAGCAGGCCTCATCTCGGGTCCGTTGATGGATCGCTACGGTCCTAGAGTACGTCCACGTCGAGCCCTAATCCCTCAACACAGCTAACACCCTTTCTCAAACAGATAATCCTAATCCCATGCTCCCTCCTCTTCATCCTCTCGGTCATGCTCACCAGCCTCTGCACGGAGTACTACCAGTTCCTCCTGGCCCAAGGCATCCTCGGCGGCCTGATGAACGGCCTAACCTACACCCCGACCCTAACAGCAGTAAACCAATACTTCCTACGACGCCGCCCGCTAGCCATGGGGATCGCCTCCTCGGGCTCCTCCTTCGCAGGCGTCGTCCTTCCCATCGCACTCAACCGCATGCTCCACGACTCCCCGCTCGGATTCGGCTGGACCGTCCGGATCATCGGCTTCCTCATGCTAGCGCTCAGCCTCGTGGCCTGCGCATGCGTCTCCTCACCCGCCCCGCCCCGTCGAACCGGGGCCCCCTTCCTCAAGGAAGCCTGGCACCACCCCGCCTACACCTTGCAAGTCCTCGGCCTAATCCTCATCATGTGGGCCCTCTTCACCCCCTTCTTCTACGTCCCGGACTACGCACACTCCATCTTAAACCTCAACATCGACCTCTCCAACTACCTGGTCTCCATCATGAACGCCGGCTCCTTCGCCGGCCGCCTCCTCACGGGGGCCTTCGCCAACCGCCTTGGCCGGTTCAACGGCCTCGTCCTGGCGTCGGCAGTCTCCGGGGTGCTGATCCTCTGCTGGCTGGCCGTAGATTCTCAGGGCAGCATGATTGTTTTCGCCCTGCTGTTCGGGTTCTTTTCGGGGTCGGTGATCGGGCTGTTCACGGCGACGCTGGCGATGACGGCCCCGCGGCCGAATGTGATTGGCTCGTATCTGGGGATGGCGTTGGGGGTGCTGAGTCTGGCGTGTTTGACGGGCACGCCGATCACGGGCGCCATGATCAATCGGTTTGGCGGCTATGAGGCCGCTATTATTTTCGCGGGCGTGTGCGCGTTGGTCGGGGCTGGGGTTGTTGCTGTTGCGAGGGTCAGGTTTGCCGGGTGGGTGGGGGTTGCTTAGGTTGGGAGGTATGATACGTTGTGGAAAAGGTGTATAATGTGGATTGTATGTGGTGTAAATTGTGTATGACTAGAGATTGTGTTGGAGTTATGGATTTATCGCCTTTCTATCTCTCTCTCTCAAGACTGAATCAAGGTCTTGCTAAATGGAGGACGGGATGACTACCTGTATGATACTTTACCACCTACATCTGCAGATCAAGATGCACTATTGTCTGTAGACGGGGAATATGGCACCTGGCACCAGACTACAGCAGCTTGATCCAGAAAGAGCGCTCAGGGTCTTGCTTGTCCTGGACCTATTGCAGACATAGAATTTCTGATGAACCGGGAAAGAGTGCAACAATTCAACTTTGGGTAGGAAGAGCTAAGAGTTTACAAATCCCCCTTCTCCGGCCTCTTGACCATTTTCACTCTCTGCACACTACTCTAGTCTATTGCATCGCTATCATTCCAGCTACTATCCCCCACATTCTATCGCTATCATCGACAGCTTTCTGACATACTACTGTCACTCGTTCTGCCCAACATTTCCAGACCGAACTCCCTCACTTACCGCTCAGCGCCCTTTATTCAGCCTTGACCCAATATTTACCAGCCTGACCCATCCAAGCACAATGCAGAGGCGTAACAACTCCATCAGACGTAACGGCTCCATCACCGTCGGCTCCAGCACAACCGGCAACACGACCCCCATCAAGGTAGACCATGCTACCTCCACCGCAGACGATCGCAAGAACGAGCCATGGAAGAGATACGGACTTCTCGTGCAAGGCTTCTGCGAGCTGGCCGCGGCCGAGAAGGAAGAGTTCCAAGAACTGGTGACAAAGGACCGCAAAGTCCATTCGGTCGACAACCTCACCGACTGGCACGAATACTACCTGGAAATGCTAGAGGTCAGCAGTACCGACGACGAACCTAGTTTTTACCGTGCGAGCGCAGGGGCAGAAATACCCCCTGTGGTGCGGGACTTGCTCAATGCTCCGTCCGCTTTCTCCGGCTTTGACTACGCAAACTCGGACTGGGAGCTCTCGCGTTCAGTGTACGCTGCAGGGCTCTTCACAGCCTCAATCAAAGGACCCATCACGGCAAGCCCGTCCGCGTACCCCACCGTCGTCGCCATGGTTCATTGCATTGTGAATGAGATAAATCGTGAAGACGCAGCCGTCACTGGGACTGCAAACGCCAACGCCAACGCCAACGCCAACGCAGCGGCCACAAATCCAGAGCCCGCAACAGCAGGGCCCAGCAGGCAAAATGACGGTCAACCACCCCCGCCGTTACGGCCATCCCCACCGCTACGGCCACCACCGCCCACGCCACCACGCCCTGCTGCAAATCCAGCACCCTCTCGCTCTCGCCTCCGCGTGGCACTCAACCACCACCCCCAGATCACCCACTATCGGCACACTCACAACCGCCTGGACGTTTACGAGGCCCGGTGTGATCTGGCTGTGCTGAGTGGCCGGGAGCCACACGTGCACTGCGGCATTCTAGGGCGCGGGCGTGTATGGGAACAAAACCGGGACGGTGCCCTGGAGATGATGCAGACCTTTTTGGCCCTCTGCCAGGAAGACGAGCGACGCCGTACGGGCCGCCTGCGGCCCTTCCATGGTATCATCACGAGTGGGCTCAGCGTGTGTCTCTGCGAGATGACCGAGCAGCGCGAGTTTCGCGACACCGCATTCCGGGATATACTGCCCGCACCGCACCCCCGGGACGAAGGACGCGACGGGCACGGCGGCGTTCCATTCGCCACCACACGGCTGTACCACAACATCAAGCGCATGCTGAGTATGACGGAACGGTATCCAGATCCTCCAGAGGACACTCATCGGGGACGGCGGCGCACGCGGCCCAGATCGAACGCCATGTCGAAAGGGAAAGAGCGCGCTACTACTGACGGCGCTTGAAGCTAGTGAAGTGGGGGTAGGATTGATGTTTGTCTCGGTCGTATTTGTGTCGTTTATCACTGTAGGCTATTATTCTTCCTGAGCCAGGGCTTTTAGTGTAGCTTTGGAAAAACATGCTCAATGTTCTCTCTATAGGAACAAAGGATTTACTGTGTTACGACCACACCTCTTTGAGAAGAAAGGATATAGAGTCAATGTAATACTTGAACCTAGTATGCACCGGCCTCTACTCGCTCAACAGCCTGACATGGAAGGAATAAAATATACCACAGATCTGTCTCGTGGATTTAATTGACGCCATCTTGGTCTTGCGACACCTACATAATCCATCAATTCCAATTCAATCCAGTTCGAATTCGAAATCATTAGACTAAGGCGACAAAATTCAGCCCGCCCATTGCGGCAAGGTATGAAGATGTTTATTGAAGAAGCCGAGAACTCAGCTAATTGGCCATATACACCTGAATACCCTCCATAATCAAGAATTAAGGCATGTCTCTCGCAAAGATATGAAATTGCAGCCCCGCGGCCGTTCATTGTCCTCATGTATATGCTGTATAATGTGCACCATATCTGTGACTCGATGGGCTGGTTGCTTTCATTTTAGACAGCGTTTTCTGCACTGAATAGGTGTCCATTGGCCCGAAGGCCTATCATGGAATCCAATGTTCGTCGCTTCCCTCGTTGCCTCCGGCCATTATGTTCATCACATCGGTATCGCATGCTCCAAGCACAGGACTGATATCTCCTTGACATGCGCACAGTTGAGTTCTGTCTAAAATGGTCTCTACTCGTTTCCTCTTGGTTTTCCGTTTGCTCTTTTCTTTCCCTAAGATGTCTCGGCTTTGCGCCATACACTACACCTGGAAGCCTCCTCGAAAAAGCTTCAGTTGTACACACCCGAGACGCACTTCTGGGAGAAAAAAAGACTGTGACCAAAGACAAAGCGAAGCTCAACCCCCCGAAGCCCCCAGCCCAAGCCAGCCCAAGCCAGCCCTAACCCCACGATCATACCACCCACCACCCCCCACGCAATCCCGAGCACCTCAGCAAGTACCACCCCGCGATCCTTCCACGTCCAGTCCATCCGAGCCGGGCATCAAATCGCATACGTTGGTACGAGTAAAAGTACGTATCCACTCCCGGAGAACCAGATTCG